CCTGATACTAGGTCAACAGAATTTGTTAATTCAATTGTTGTGCTGCCCAGGACTCTATCTCAGAAGTGTATGGTCTCGTCTGACATTGCGGTGTTGCACCAGATTGAACGGTTCCCTAGATATTGTCCTCGCTGAATCCGAGGTCTGACTTTGACCTGCCAAAGGTTAGCTGCCTTACAAGTTACGTCTAAACTGTAATACCCATAGATCTCATATTCCATTGCCTACAGCTGCTAAAATCTGGCGCGGCTATACCACGCCGTTTAGAGATCATTCTGGAAAAACTTTCCGGGGGGAGGCGAACTGACCCTCCACCCAAAAATCATAATGTTCTTATCGCGTGTAAAGGGCTTGTGATATTGATAAACCATTAATTAAGGAAGCCATTGCATAACATTCCTTCATCCATGACAATTCAGTGATGGCAAGGTGCGAATCGGCAGAGATACTTCATTTTGTACTAAGACATACTCCTATTCATGATATTGTTGCGCGTACATCTGGCGTCTTCGCAGGTAGGGACCCTGAATAAGACTCCGACCAGCCCTTCATACTTTTAGACACCCCAATGAGCCCCTGATTGTCGGGCCCAGTGGGCCCTCTGGGCTCTTTGGGCCTCCCCGAACACTGCCTCTGGCCGACTCAGGGCCCCTTGACAACATAGGGCCCCTGTTAGGCGCTGTGGGGCCCGAGAAGCGTAAAGCGCTGGCCCCGGCTTTGTCGCTGCTTGGGAAATGGGCTCTAAGGTCCATCCGCCACGGAACCGACTGTGCGGTAATGGTAATGTCTGACCGAAACATAGGCCGTTATCGACTTAGTGCGCTCCTGATCAGCGCGCAGGGCCCTTGGCTGGCATTGGAGTGCCCGGCCCTGCGGACCGGGACCTCTGAATGAGATGTCCGTGAATTTAACGATTTAGTCAGCGATTTATTCAGCAACGAGTTCTGATTTTGCTAAAATAGTTCTCAAGGGGAATTATGGCAGGAGAACATCGAACAAGGCCTTTATTTTCCAATAGCATGTGAACTTCGAGGTAAAAGCCAGGATCAGGGGACGGAGAACTCGATGTCACTCAAAAATTACCGACCGATTTGCAAGCTGCAAGCATCAAAATATTCACAGGTGCAAGACCTAGCGTTCGTCAAAAAGTCCTGGCTCCTCAAGGTCGCCTTTCAAGGTCAAACGCGGGCTCAAAGGGCGGGGAACTCAATATCATCCAAAAATCACCGGCTGATTTTTAACTTGAAAACATCAAAACATTCACCACATAATAAACAGTGTCCATTAAAAGCTTCTGACCTTTCAAGGACGTCCTTCAAGGTCAAGCGCGGGCTCAAAATACGAGGAACTCAGTATCGTCCAAAAATTACCCACCGATTTTAAACTTGCAAAGGTCAGAATGTTCTCCCCAGAAAGAACTGGCGACCGTCAGAAAGCAATGATCTCTCAAAGTCATCCTTCAAGTTCGAACGCGGGTTCAAAGTAACAGAAACTCCAGATCACCGAAAATTACCGGTCGATTTTAAACTTCGAGATTTTAGATTATTCCCCACAGACAGAACTAGCGTCCGTCAAAAGTCCTGACACTTCAAGGTGACTCTTCAAAGTCAAACGCGAGGTCAAAGGACGGGGATCTCAATATCACCCAAAAATTACCAGTCGATTTGAACTCTGCAATTACCCAAACGGTGACAAGGACAAGAGCTAGCGTGCGTCAAAATGTCCTATGCTTTCAAGGTGACACTTTAAGGTCAAGCGCGGGCTCAAAGAGCAGGAAATAAATTTCAGGCAAAAATTTCCGGCCGATTTTAAACTTCTGAAATATCACAATGTGTTCCACAAAAGAACTAGCGTACGTTAAAAGGACGTAACTTCTTAAGGTCATCCTCTAAGGACGAAAGCGGGCTTAAAGTAAAGGAAACTCTGTATCACCAAAAAATTGCCGGCTGATTTGGAAACTGCAAGCATCAAAACATTTAAAAGAGAAAGATCTAATGTCCCTCAAAATGTCCCGACCTTTCAAGGTGACCCTCATTGTCAAACGCGGGCCCAATGGACGGGGAGCACCACATCACCTTAAAATTACCGGCCGATTTAAAACTTGCAAACGTGAGAATATTCACCACAAAAACAACTAGCGTCCGTCAAAAAGTCCTGACGTTTGAAGGTGACCATTCAAAGGCAAACGCGGATTCAAAGGACGGGAACTCCATATTACCTAACAATTACCGGCCGAATTTAAACTTCGAAATATCAGAACATTCACCACAAAAAACTGGCCTCCGTTAAAAAATGCCCGACCTCTCGAGGTCACTCTTCAAAGCCAACCGCGGGCTCAAAGGACAAGGAACTCGATATCACACAAAAATTACTGGCCGATCTGAAAACTGCAAAATTGAATTATTTACAAGCCCAAGAGCTAGCGTCCGTCAACAAGTCCTACCTTTCAAGATGGCCCTTCAAGGTCAAACGCGGGAATGACGGGAACTTAATGTCACCCAGGGATCTTTGTCGGACGCTAGTTCTTTGCGTTGTGAGTATTCTGATGTTTAAATTTAAAATCGGCGGCAATATTTAGTTGTTATTGAGTTCCCCGTCCTTTGAGCCAGGCTTGACTTTGAAGAATGAGCTTGAGTAGCCAGGACTTTTTTAAGGACGCTTTTTTAAGGTGAGTGTTCTGACATCTGGAAGTTTAAAATCGGCCGGTAATTTTGGGGCGATATTGAGCTCCTCATCGTTTGAGTCCAAGTTTAACCTTGAGCGGTGACTTGGAGAATTCAGGACTTTTTACGAACGCTGGTTCTTTCTTTGTTGAATATCCTATCAATTATGACTCTCAAATCGGACAATAATTTTTGGATCACATGGAGGTCCCGTTCTTTGAGCCCGTGTTTGACCTTGAAGGGTGACTCTGAGAGGTGAGGGTTTTTTACTTAGACTAGTTTCTTCTGTCTTAAATTTTCTGATACGTGCAAGTTCAACATCGGCCAAAAAGATTGGAATGATATTGAGTTCCCCGTCCTTTGAGCCTGCGTTTGATCTTGAGGGATGACCTTGAGAGATCAGGACATTTTTAACGGACGCTAATTCTTTCTACGGTGAATATTCTGATGTTTGCAAGTTAAAAGTCGGTCGTAAATTTTGGGTGACATTAAGCTCCCCATTCTTTGAGCCTGAGATTGACCTTAAAGGGTGACTTTGATTGGTCAGGACTTTTCGACGGATGGTAGTTTTTTCTGTAATGAATATCATGATGTAGGCAAGTCTAAATCGTCCTCTTATTTTGGGGTGATATGGAGTTCCTCGTCCTTTGAGCCCACGTTTGACCTTGAAGGATGACTTTGAGAAGTTTCTTTTTAAAGGACGCTAGTTCTTTCTGTGGTGAATATTCTGAAATGTACAAGCTTCAAATAGGACAGTAATGTTTGGGTGATACTGAGTCCCCCGTCCCTTGAGCCCGCGTTTGACCTTGGAGGGTGACCTTGAGAGGTTAGGACATTTTGATGGACGTTACCTATTTTGCTTGTGAATGTTTTGATGCTCTCAGTTTGCAAGTCGGCCGATAACTTTTGGCTGATATCAAGGTCCCTTTTCTTTGACCCAGCTTTTGACCTTGAAGGTGACATGATATTGCTAACAAGGCCATTCTCAATGTTTTCGTGCCATGATTTACTTCGAGACCCCTTTGCACAGAAATCAGAACTCGTCGCTGAATTAATCGTGAACATCACGAACATCTGAATGAGACCTCTGGCTGATCTTTCGGGCCCCTTCGGACGCTCAAATCGGCCCTTAATCGTAGGTTCCGAGGGCCCGAAGCCCCTCAAAACCTTAGGGAGCGGGGGGGGGGCACGTTTTCCCTGTACCCCTTTGCTTATGTTACCGTTTTCGGGGGAGAAGAAATGGTTAGCTGCCTGCCCTACCGTTTTGGCGTGACTTCATCTGCAATCCACTTGTTGTGAGATTGTGACTTTATCCACAATCAGGATGTCCAAATGCCAGAAAAAAGCTCCGCGAACTGGTATGCGCGGCGACAACGCTCCCAGTAACTTCTGCCTACTGTGAGCGAGGGATCAGCACGATGAACGTTGCTATGGTGCTGGCCCAAAATCATATCAACGTTGATGCATTGCCTAGGCTGATGTTTATCAGCCTGGTGCCCCCTCCCCTCAGCCATCGACCTGTGGAGGCCTGACTGATCCGTATGGACGGCGTAGGTTTGTGACGCGGGGTCGCTCATTGCCTGGGAGACCCCATTTCGGCCTACCTATTGAGCCTCTGGTTTGTGGCAGTTGGTCCCCGATCGACTCAAGGGAACCCCTAGCTGACATTTGTAAGTTTTGCCCTACGGGCAACCAGAACCCCCAAGGAACCCTCACATGCTCGGGTCCCTTGGAACGAAAAAATACCTTCGGACGACCCTTCAAGCCACCCAATCGAGCCAGAGGCACAATCCTGTTCAGTTGGGGCTGCTCTTCCTCCAATTTGAGATGAAAAACCAGCCAAATCCAGGAACAAATTGGTTTGATGGCGTATATTGGGAGGACGTTTTTCACTTTTCACTGCTCAGCGCACCAACTGGTTTAACGAAAACATGCCTTGGAACGAAACCTCCATCGCTGGTCGCTGGAAGACTGAAGGACATCTGGAAACTGACGAGTGAGGGGGGGGGCGTGCCTTCGGTATTCCCCTGCTCGTGCTCCTTTGCAGGACATCTATCTGCCTTAGGAAGGCATTGGCAATACTTTTGTGGATATTTTATTAACGACTGCCGTATTTGTGTGGCATTCCTGATGAGTCAAGCGTACCTTATTTGAAATGCTGTTTGACGCTTTAGTAGACTTGTTTCTTTAGGCGGAAAGTAGCCGGGCTAGCGGCGCCGCAAGAATGAAAAGCAGAATAATTTCAGAATAAAGTAGACAAAATAAATTTTCATAAGGTGCATCTAAGCATGACTTTCACAATGTATGTATGTGGTTTGTTTTTTGGAGCATAGATAATGCTGTTACTTGACCCCAGCCAGACCGCTCACGTCGACAAAAACACCGCTGCGACGCAGAAGCTCCGCGTAGAAATACGCGACTTTTGGAAATTCCGGAGAGCTTAAAGGCAAATCGGTTTTAGAATTATAAGATTCGATTAACAGCCATCATGAACAGTATACCGAACCAGAATGGTATCGGTCTTGAGCAGCAGGTAAGTGCTTTCGGACTGCGCGTACTTCGTCGCCCACATTAGAGTCTTTGTGGTGGTATAAGTAATCGTCATGTGGTATGGTTCGAAAATTGTAAAGCTAATGCATTTTTTGCTTACAGTTCGCTGGTCTGGATATTCGTGGCGGATTTCCGCCTCCTCAGGCAGCAACAAGATTTGTTCAGCCACCACATCGCATGGATGGGTTTGATCGCACTGGTAACCAAGCATTTACAAATTTTAGGGGTGAGTGTTCAAATTACATTGCCAGATGGTCTGATTTGATGCTTGTTTCGAGTAATAGAGGATCTCTGCACACATGTATGATGTAAATATAGCTTGTGCTTACAAATATTTGGGAATCATTAGCAACTTGTGGGACTGATGCTCAGAAACTTATTTGGACTTCGCCCATTCGCACCAGCATGTACTGGCCAAGTGGTATGTGCTTTCAGCTGCCATGTGGAGGCTCTTGTATGAGCCCTGATATGCCTATATGAGCAATTATTGAGCCTGGCACTTTGTTTCAGAACAAAGCAATGCTTATAAAGTTATGTATAACTGCTAGACAGCAATGTACCAGCCAGTATCACAAAATGTCAGTGACATATTGTGGCACCCTTGAATATGAATTAAATTCAGCAGGACTTTGCTGTCTAATGCTAGAAAAAATCATTGTACACCATTTGTTGTGTTTAAGGCAGAACATATCATAAATAATCTTAAAACAGGTAGAATCATGCTCCTACCTTCAAATTTTAAGAAACATGATAGCGAGCTTGCAAGCTCTACACACACCGCACCGCATTGACTCCCCAGCCCATTTCTGCCTTGTTACATAATTACAATAATTCTGCTTGTCAAGAACCAAAAAAAATGTGCGGGACCAAGGTAACAATAATAATGCAATGAAAATTGTTTCATATTGCATTTAGGTACGTTTATGACACGCAGGCCAGAATAGTCTGGAACATAGCCTAAACTAGCCTAACCTAACCTAACCTAACCTGACCTAACCTGACAATCTAATGTAACCTAACCTAATGTAACCTAAGCTTACCTAACCTAACCTAACCTAACCTAACCTTAACCTAACCTAACCTAACCTAACCTAACCTAACCTAACCTAACCTAACCTAACCAAGAATAGATCAGAACCTGAGCTAAGCTAAGTTAAGCTAACCTAATGTAACCTAACCTGACCTGACCTAACTAACCTAACCAACCTAACCTAACCTAACCTAACCTAACCTAACCTAACCTAACCTAACCTAACCTAACCTAACCTAACCTAACCTGACCTAATGTAATCTCCCCACCCTATATCCCTGTCAACCCAGCATCCTATTGGCATCCATATTCCATGCCATTTATAGGTACCATGCAGTGAGCTGTTATTTAGCTGCCATGTTCTCATTTTGCTTTACATTCCCCACCTACTGTGTGTTTGCGGCCGTCAGATGTTTGGTATCGTAATTAGTTAAGTTCCAAGGTAAGAGTATAGATGACCTGTTTTATTATTAATTATGATATGTTCTGCCCTAAAAACAATGATTTATGTACAATGCTCTTTTGTAACATGAGGTAGGAAAGTACACCCTGACCTAGCAGCATACCTGTGGTGGTGGTAGCAGTATGCCACTGCATCATTTCAAAATTCATCCTCTATAGCTTGCAGGATGTAAATACAAATTCGTGCTTCCAGAGTCCTGTCCCTCTGGCTGTTCCCACACACTATTTGCTGGTGCTGATCTATTGTGCTCTGATCTTGACCCAGACATCTGACCTACTCAGCCTTTTTGTCAAACCTGATGCACATTGGTGCTGGTTTAACAGCCCCTGGTTTGATACTCACTGGCTGATTTTGAACAAGGGGAAGGGCTATAGGCAGTGAGCACAAGGCAGGAGTGCTGTAGCATGAAAAATATTGACATCCCTGCTACCTGCTACTAAGTGGCAGAATATTGCAACATTGCACTGCATCAAAAGATGATGTTGATTGATGATTGGTAGGGGTGTTAGCTGAGCATGGCTGAAGCCCTGGTTGTGTTTAAAAAAGGGGTATATATGTAAGGCAACAAACAGAAAGAGTAAGGAGGGGCAAAGGGGTATATAAAGGTTAGTATCTCAAAACAGGTGCAACACATCACCCTTGAGAAAAATAGATTACCAATAGGTGGTTACACTATGAGGCAGTGTCAAAAGATGTTGCTGGTAGATAAGTGGTAGGCTAGTTAGCTGAGCATTTAATGAGTCAGCTGAGCTTGGGGTAAAGTCTTGGTTTAAGTGGTTAGAAAATGGGACAGGAGTGGGGGAGAGAGTAGGAGGAGAAGGGATGGGCATAGGGTTAGGTCTAGAGCTTGGTTAGGTTAGATCAGGCTATAACCCAGGGAATTTTCAGTCCTATTAGGGCAAGGACATCACTCGCTATTTTGGTGCTCAGAAGAAAAAAGGCAATGGGCATTGTGGATGGTGCGGTTGTGCCAGCACCAGGTTAGTGGATGTACTGAGTGTTGCTTGCATCATTCTGCTGTAATGATTATGCAGTAGTTTTGGAGAGTAGGGCAGACGTGCTGGAGCAGGAGTGTCATAAAAATGCAATTAACTGGTGTTGCCAGTTTTGCTCACAACCCCATTATGGCCTCTACAGTCCTCCTGAAAATTATGCTGCTCCGGATGCTTAAGAGGCAATGCTGCACAACAGTGATGTTAGGCCAAGTTGTCCTTTATTTTCAAATAAGACTGGTGGGAAACTGTTATACTGGTTCTTGAATATTTTAACTGGAAATCAACTGTAATATCTTTTTTAAACATTGCTTCTATGTGCTGAAAATGGTGCCGAATATGCACTAATATGGGCAATCAGATTTTCTATGTGCATGCACTAAAGTTTTTGCCAAGATGTTGCTAGTGTACTGGACATGTGTGGAATAATACATTTTTGCCATCTTGTATGCAGTTAATCATGTCCAGATTGCAAAAATGCACTTAGCACTGAACATGTCTGATAGCAAGCAAATTGCAGCAACAATTTTGGCACATGAACATTGTAGACTGTGGGCTTATGTTTTGGTGCCCAGGGCACAAAGAGATCAACATTGCAAGGAACTGTGATCTTGCTAAGGTAATTTCATGCAAGAATCCCCCAAATCAATCTCGGTGGAATTTGGTGCGCTGATGAGCAGGCAGCCGTGCATTGGATGGATTTTTGCAGAAGGGGCAGACACTGCTTAAAAGGTATGTAGCAGCATAGGTGACATTTCCATTTTTAGATGGGTAAGGAAAGCTGATGCTTCCCTCAAAAAATTAAATGACGATGTTTAGGGTTTAGCATTAGACTGCTAGTATAATATGTTTGTTATTGGCACACTCTCTTCACTTTCCTTTATTTCTTATCAAGGCAAGGTGTATTTAGATTTGCTTTTCCCATTGTATTTTGTACATCTTTAGCAGTACTTCAGGTGTATAAAGGAGGAGACTCTTCCCGAAAGAATGGGAGGAAAGTAATGTGAGTTAAATCTGGTTTTCACCATCCTGTGCAATGAAGGCAATATTTATGCCATCTAAATCTGGCAGGCAGTTGCTCATGGGGCACCACACTCTCATCTTGGTCAGTGTGTCCATGGTTGCATGTTACAGGCTGTGCCTGAAGCTGTGATATTTTGCTTGATAATTCTATCCATGATTTGCAGTATGGCAAAATTCAGTCATTTAGATGACAAAAATATGGATGTTGTTCTGGCTATTACATCCCAGATGGAAGCTTAATGTCCACACTACAGAAAATTGTTATGCTGAACATTTCTGGCATCACAGTAATATCACAGCAACAATTGCAGTGCATGACTCCATAAATCTGAGCACTCTGAATTTGGTGCACAGCACTACCAGTTTCAGTGCATGTGGAAACAAAGTGTCAAATAATAAGGATTATGCATGTGCAGTTTCAGACAGAACCCTTTCAGAATGTGAAGGAAAAAACAAAACTCAGACCAATGTAGCCTGGCCCAAGGTCAGTGTGGTATCAGTCAGGTTCATCACACTGATGGTGTGGATATGTCTGGTGCAGGAGATGGATGCTTTACAGACTGGTCATTTTCCTGCTGCCCTTCCAAGATGGCCAATTTGCATAGAGCCGGACGTAGAATCCAGTATCCAGGTTCTTCTGGCTTGGCAAATTGTTGGGGCAGGTCAGGGTGTTAATGGATTGGCAGGCAATAAAATGCTGTAGATGGAAGTAAACTGACCCCAGCAGTTTGTGGTCCCTTAACCAGCATTAATTGGATTCCTCAGCAGAACACCACTGACCAGAGAGGGCAGATTTGAACCCCTCTGCTTATGTCAAGAATGGCTGGGCCAAATGCAAAAATTCACATTACCATCATTAGTGCTGTGATGTGCAGTTGTAGATCACACAGCAAGCTTAAGTTAAGTGTGTATTAGGGTGACACATCAAGGCCAAATTATGACTAAGGCATTTCATTTAGAAGCATGTCTCATGGTATGCTTCTAAATTAGATCATAATGTCCTGATCAAGCTTGCTACATGGGAAGGTATCCAATGTTGCACGCCGTATTAGGCCTAGAGCGACGGTCACGTGCCGTGGACATGAAAGCTGAATCCTTGGTCTTTATGTCTGTCTTGGTATGTTTATTTGCGTCATATTTGAACCATCTAAACGTGAAGTGGGACAGCGTAGCCGCAATTATGGGAACCAGACACGTGATCGAGGGTTGTTACTTGTTCATAAACCGTCTAAGGCCAAAGTCAAATGCATGTCGTCGGTGGTGAGCAAGCGGTTGGATAGTTTTTTGCATTGTTTGCCACGGTCTAATCCAGCTGACAGCGCAACCTGATACCCTTTAGGCCCGCCGCCAGTCACGTGGCCGTGGGTTTGCGTGTAAAACTGATGCCTGATTCGGCCGCCCCGTCACCGTGCCGCTGCGACAGACCTGAGCCCGCCGCCCGCCTCCGCGGCCCGGGCCCACCTGGGAGGAGGCTTATGCGCTATGGATTATTTCAAGCCATAGCTCATTGTGGTTGTTACAGATAGTTGCGTGGAAGTTGGTACAGGCATCCTTCATAGTCATATCTAGGATACTTTGTATCATGTCTTCATAATTTGAAGTCTGAGGCCCAAAAACGTTTAATGGGCTTTTTATGAATATTTTCGTTGTTTGAGATGCCAGCATTTCAATGCGCAATATAGAAATGAACAGCAACAAGACATGTGAATGATGTTCTAATGGGCTCACATTTCCAGATTACAGTTGTAAAATATTTTCTTTAGCTCAGTCTCTGTGTCATTTTGTCTATGGCTTTGCGCTTTTGTAAAAAAAGAAAATGGGCGAACAGGAGGTCACTTTGATGTCGCTCTCGCATGATCCACCACAGTGTCATAATTCTGATTTTGACACAATGCATAAATCAGTTTTGTACTTATCAAGGCATTTATCAATTCAGTGCTTTCCCAAAAATTTGCAGTGATATCTCAAGGCACTTTTATTTTTAATTTATGTTGGATAGGGGTAGCAGGTCTGACCCCCACCCGGTCAATGCCAGATTAAAAGGAATGTTCCATGTTTCAAGATATAAAAGCAAGCATTTCCTATGATAAAAAGTCTCGCTGAAAACTGGTGGTGTATTTCGAACTGGAAAATATTGCTCCAGAAAACGCAATATTTCTATGTAGTAGATTTGCTTCCCGGTATGTCATTAATTTTATCATCATGCATTGGACAGCATTGATTGAGAGCCAATTGGGGGGCCGTTGTGTTTGCAGATCGTTTTCATGAACGCCAGACATGAACGACTCAATAATTTTATCTTTCTCGGCCTTGATTGCCGCATGGACAGTGGAAAGGCAGGATGTGAAAAATGTTATGGCGTCATGAACATCTGGGTGACGTTGTAATAGTCTCCTCGGAGCAGACTGCTTATCTTCGCGGGCGTGTAGCTCAGAGGCTGGGAGTGTTTAGGTCTTACAAGGGACAGGGCTGTAAACTGCGCTCAGTGCCCTTCCAGATCACCATTTCAATTCAAAACCTGATCTAAATGTGGAACACTGTAGACACCAATAAATTATCATAAAATGTCGTACGGGCAGAATTTTCTGGGAGGCCAGAAGTATGATGGCATAAATCTATATTTGCAACTTAAAACTGAAATGTATACATTTTGGAATTCCATTTGTTTTAGACATACTCACCATTATATAAGTGCACAGATGTCCAGATGAAATTAAAAAAGGACCTTATCTTAGAAAATATGGGCTAGATATCAACAGCCTTGCAAAAGAGCCCACTGCATCATACAATGGTAGCAGATGACATTCTGCTTGGCATGTGTGTACAGGGTATTCCCATACTTGACAAAGAAGAGAAACTCGAAAAGTGTGAGTAGAATTGCCTTAGGACAACTGATCAGTTACGACAGTATTGATAGCCGTATTCCCCGGGGAAAAACCAGGAAAATGGAGGTATAGTTGGGTTGATATTTTGGCAACATGCATTTATCGAAGCAATAGCAAAAGTGAAATACAAAGAATTGCCTGCCGATGATCCTACTGGATTTTTCTCTTCCTACAGCAAGCCACAGTTTTTACAGGACACCAACATTTATGAGATTACACATAGAGCGATTGCAAGCCATTACCACGAACAGTGCCTACCTAAGAATTAGAATACGCGAACATACGTGTACGTGCAAACGAATTGAAGCAAATAAGCATCACGCATCACACTTCATTGAAACACGCGAGCGAGTTGAAATAAACGGGCCTCGCACGTCGCGCATCAACTATACATGCAAGCAATTTCAATTGAAGAGGCTTGGCACATCACGCGTCAGTTATCACTTACACATGTAAGCGATTTTAAACTAGGACACATCACACATAAAGGCACATCACGTTCCCATGATGGGTCATGATGGACCCTGTATGTTAAGATTTGTTTGCTGACCTTTTATAAGAACAGATTCACTTGTTTTCCTGTGTTAGTAGTCATCTGCTCCGTAGATGACTGAGCTCTAAAAGGGGCAAAGGGCCCATACCTCCCTCGATTTCAGCCTGAGTATGTGTGGCCAAGAAAAAACAGCCACCGAAAGGGGCATTCCCCTCTTTCGTTTTTAACGTCTCGCAGCTGTTCAATGTATTTGAAACGAATAGGGCGCATGGATTATCCGACATGGGCTGTGTCCCTGCCATGTTTTTTCACGCAGTCTGCACTTGATTTCGTAAAACACGTTTTTTTTTGCGTGTGCCAGCCGGTCATCTCCGAACGAGAAAGCATTATCCTGCGTGCACTGTTCTAAAAGACCCCAGATATCCTCTTTTGATAGATCGAAAGCATCAATTTCATGGAAGTGTTTGTCTACCTTAGCTTTCATGGAAGTGTTTGTCTACCTTAGCTTTCATGGAAGTGTTTGTCTACCTTAGCTTTCATGGAAGTGTTTGTCTACCTTAGCTTTCACGGCAGTGATAGCCTCGTTGACTTTTATATTACCATGTAAATTGACATCTACACTGAAGAAAACGCTGCCCTCTGGTAACCTTTCTGCGTGCAAATGACTAGAAGCCTTTCAAGTGTAGACTGAAAAACATGGAAGGGATATAGTCTATGTCGGACAGTCCATTCGTCCTAGTTTAAAATCGCTTACATGTGTAAGTGATACCTGATGTGTGATGTGATTAGAAAGGCACTGTATCGTGGTAATGGCTGGCAATCGCTCCTGGCAATCTCAATCTTCCCTGAGTGTTGGTTCTGTAAAATCTGTGGCTTGCTGTTTAAACAAACCCTGAAAAATCGAATAGGATCATCGGCAGATATATTTTTTTAATTCACTTGTTCTGTTGTTTCGATAAAGGCATGTTGCCAAAATATCAACCCAACTATATCTCCATTCACCTGGTTTTTCTCCGTGGAATAAGGCTATTACGTCTGTCTTATCTATGTGAACAATGCCCCTCGCTAATGCATCGAACAACTTACGCATCTGGTCAGTTGCCTAAATGTAGCAAGACTGACACGCCTAAACCCGTATCTGAACAGCTTGCACTACATTATACAGATGTTTTTTATGCTGGCTATTTGCAGAGTGTATGAGTCACCATATTTTGTACCATGGTCTTCAAAGATGCCTCAAAACATCACTGTCCAGAATAGCACTGTTGAGACTCTTACCAGCTATAGCAAGCCCCATGGCAGCCACAAAATGCTTGTTAAATGATTTGTGTGATAAGACGTGTGAGTATAGGGGCATGTGTGCTTGTCCGACGGTTATTAGGAAGCTCGTGTACCATACTGTATTTATGCGTGTTCTAAAGCAGGCTTTCAGTGAAAATATGGTTCTAGATAACCATCCGCAAATACCACCTGCAAAAGAATATGTTATCGGGCACTTGCTTAGCTCAGGTCTCCTCCAGCTTTCCACCAAATGGAGCAAGGATTCTTTGACTTGCCTGCTCTAATGCAAGTCCCACCATCACCAATAAAGTATTGTCCTATTCAATTCACTGCTATTTACTTCCCTGTGTCCGTTTGTGGGTATGCTAAGATTAGGTAATTCTTGTAAGCGATTTATGTAAGGCTTCTCAATCCTTTTCATAGAAACTAGCAAGAGTTATTTGGGGTTTGTTAGTACACTATTTTTGAGCTGTGCTATGCTTTTTGTTTCAGTATCAAAGGATCCAGCATGATAATACTTGGTGAAATATGAAATAATTCATGCACAGCGGGCTCTAAAATATTTCTGTAAGTAGTCTGAGGCCCCAAACAACGCACGCACCGTCACAGCGGTTCTCTACAAAGTAGCCGACAGTAGTTATGTGGCAGCGGTAGCTCACTGGCACCTTCAGCAGATGGACTGATGTTGCGGCGTCCTGCCGCTGTCCAGGTCGCTGGTACCGACTGTCGTGACCACTGTGCGTGTGCCCGGCAGGCGGCGCCTTCACCCGGGGCGCGGCAGCCGGCCGGCCGGCCTTCGGCGGCGGGTTCGACCCGCGCGGCCCGCCGCCACCCATGCCGCCGGCCTTCGACCGGGGCTTCAGCCGCGGCGGGTACGGCGAGCGTGACCGCGACCGCGACCGCTGGACCGGCTACGGCTTCTCCGACCGTCCTGCCAACGGGTCTGCGCCCGCCGCCGGGCATCAATTTCGGGGGGAGGGCGCGGCCGGCGGCGCGCCGGCGCGTCGGCCGCCAGCCGCCGGCCGCGCCCTCCCGGCGCGTGCTGCGATGGACTGGATGCTGGATCCTTGGTCACGAAGGCTCAGCCGCTCCTCTCGTCCGCCGGCGAAATTCATGCCCCGGTCTGCCGCGCAGCCCGGTGCCCGGTCATGTTTAGATGCGCGCCGTGGCGTGTCCGGCCACGGCCGTAGACGGGACGGCCCTCTCGCACGGCCCGCTCCCCGACTCTTGTCTAGTCGTCGGCTGTCCTGCCTCTCCGGCACCTCTGCCTGCACCCTTTTCGACTGGATCGGGAACTGAAGGCTCGCTGCACCCCTCTCTTTTTTACTTGTAGCATTTTGCTGGATTGGTTATGATGAACAACTGCTTCAGTCGAAGCAGCGTTTTTGTTTAATACGCCTCACTTACAACAGTTTAAACGGGCCCTAGATTATTTTCTCTTTGACTTGTGTAATGTTGTCTCCCTTTCATTCAAAATTTGCGTGCTTGACATCTCACTTGTTTGAGGTTTGTCCATGTAAGTGTACATGTGCAAGCAGCATGTCCGTTTTCACTCTGCTTGCTGCGTACCACCTATTCCTTTCCCATGGCAACTAGTCCTGTAGGCTAGAACTGAGAGTGCTGCATGCTTGGTGTCGGCTCTTGGGCTATTTTATTGGGCTATTTTTATGTTTGTTTCGCATAGTATGTAGCCTTTGTATGTCATCTTTTCATGCTGGCATGTGTTTGTCCAAACATCGCCGCCGTCACTGGCTTAGCTCTATGTCAGCGTTGGTATATTCGTCCGACTGGGGACACTGGCCGAGCACGTTTCTAGGTGATGCTCAAGTCTGCCATCTGCGGCTGGGTGTCGCGAACTGTACGTCAGCCGTGTCCGGTGCCCGCCAGTCTGGGCGGGCCTGGTCACCAATCTGTCACCGAGAGCCGCCGGGGAGGTACTGGTTAGGCCCGCTCCGCCCGCCGACTCACGGCGCTGGTGGAGCGCGTCACCCCCCCCCCCCCCCGTCCCGTCCCGTCCCGTCCCGTCCCGTCCCGTCCCGTCCCGTATGGGCCGGGCCGGCTCCCCCCCCCCTCTGCGCGCCCCCGTGTCGCCGCTGACTGGGGCCGCCCGACTGCGAACAGGTTCGGCGGCCGCGGTGGCCGTTTCGACCGCGCCGGCGACTTCGGCTTCGGCGATCGGCGCGGCGGCTCCAATAACTGGAACAGCTACGGCCGTAACAACAACAGCCGCTCCGGGTAAGTGGTGGCCCCACGCCGGGCGACCGCCATGTCCGCTAGCCGGCCGCTGACGCAGGGAGCTCCCGCTCTGGACTGGCGGTACGGGCGCATTGTCGGGAAGGGCGCCAGCGGAAGCGGAAGGAAGCCGCTAGCAAGCCGGCGGGTGATGATGGTTTTGCTGAGCTGGCCGATTTCGACAGCTGCCCGTGTAGTTGGACTGGTAGAGCACTTAACGCTGCCCGGTGCGTGGGATGACGTCTTGAGGGGGCGTCTGCGGGGCTCGTCGGATGGCCAACTGGCAGCTGGCCAGGGAGCAGGACTGAGGCGCGGGCGACCGTGGCGCGGCGTTACGTGGCGCAATACAATCTGGGCGAAACTTTTACGCCACTGAAACTTCTCTACTGCGACGGTGTGGTCAACCTCTTTGTGACAAGTTATATTGGCATGGGCCCGGAACTCAAAACGGTCCTCGCAAGCCGTTTGTGTATATTTCATCTTAGTTTTTTGGGTGTCGGTAGAGAAACCCATAAACATGGCCGCAGTGGTGGCGGAGTTTGAACGCTGCCACTGCGGGTACTGGCCGCCCCTGCGTTGGCCGTGGCCGGGCGGGCGCAGGGGGCGGTGTGTCCGCTCACTCGACTGAGAGGCGCCGTTCGCGCCGCAGGGGCAGTGGCGTGGTGCGTTGGGGCGAGCGCCAGGAGGACCTGCATATGAACGACCGCTGGAAGGAGCCCAACGAGGCCGACTGGACGGTGCCGCTGCTGCGCGACTCGCGCGTCGAGGAGGAGCTCTTCAAAAATGTCAGTGGCGCGGGGCCGGCTGGAGCGGCGCACCCAGAGACGGCGGTCGGGGTGCAACCGGCCGCCGGAGCAGTGTACATATGGCCTGCGTTCATCGTCGCCAAACCACAAAGAAACGAGAGATGAGCTCGTGATTGAAACATTTGCTGCCTGCCCGGTTGCAATGAAACTTGAGCATCTGTCAGTTTTCATGGCCATGGGCATGACTCGCGGGTGAGGGGGGAGGGGCAGGGGCTAAGGCTGACACGTAAGTGCTTACGACTGCCTTCGATTGTTGTTGGGCTCCTTTGGCCCGATCATCCTCGTCTCGACCGTCCAGTCTGGCCCGCACTGAGAGCGAGTTGACGGCAAGTGCTGCTACCATTTCCTGGCCTGGCCTAACCCGTCTGAGACCCCTAGCATGGCCTACCCTGACCTGTAGGGCGTGCCCGCAGACGAGCACGGGCATCAACTTCGACAAGTACGACGACATCCCCGTGGACGCCACCGGCAACGACGTGCCTGAGTGCATTAACTCGTTCACCGAGCTCGAGCTGACGCCCATCATTATTGAGAACATCGAACTTGCCAAGTACACCACGCCTACGCCGGTGCAGAAGTACGCGTTCCCGATCATCCTCAAGTCGCGTGACCTGATGGCGTGCGCACAGACCGGCTCCGGCAAGACGGCCGCCTTCCTCGTGCCGCTACTCAACCAGATCTTCATGAACGGGCCGCAGGGCAACGCCCCGCCAGATGCCAAGGTAGGCCGCACCGGGCGCCCGCTCCGGCTCCGGCTCCGGGTTCGGTTCCGGTCCCGGTTCCAGAGCCTGCGGCGGTGTTTGGGAACAGGCTCACGTGCGTCGGTACTCCGGTCGGTACTTCTGCCTTGTGCCATGGGGAACTGCGGTGGCTGTCGCAGGTGGTGACAGCACAGTTCTCCGAGTCGGGCCGTCGGCAGGGTTCTCGCGCTTTCTGGTTCCGTGGCGGGTGCAGCCATTTACGAGAGGACGGGAGGGGGGGGGGGGGGGGGGGGGTGTAACTCCACCTCATGCGCTGCCCATGCCTCGTTGGTTGTCGCATGGAGCGGGACCCCGATTTGCGTCCGCTTTCGTTCGGCGACGACACATTCGGACGCCAGCTGGAGCTTGTGCTGTCGCGTTCTCCGCCCAGCGGCCGCCCGTGACCGCCGCGCCTGCCTAACCCCGCCACTCGCCCTTCAGCAGCGTCCGATGGGCGGCCGCAAGAAGCAGTTCCCGTTGGCGCTCGTGCTGGCGCCCACCCGCGAGTTGGCCACGCAGATCTACAACGAGGCGCGCAAGTTCTCGTACCGCTCGCACGTGCGGCCGTGCGTGGTGTACGGCGGCGCCGATGTGGGCGGCCAGATGCGCGACCTAGAGCGCGGCTGCCACCTGCTTGTGGCGACGCCCGGCCGCCTGGTGGACATGCTGGAGCGCGGCAAGGTCGGCCTCGACAACTGCCGTTACCTGGTGCTGGACGAAGCCGACAGGTGGGTCACAGCTGGTGCTGGATGAGGTCGCCAGGTGGAAGCTCGGTTGGCAGATGGTGCGGTAAGTGATTGCTGCGTGTGCCTGGAGGTGATGAATCGCTCCACTTGAAGGCGCACTTCGCCGCTGTTTTGTGCGGTGCCACTGTCGTCGGACCGGTAAGACGGGGCGCCGCTCGCAGCAGCCGCCTCTGCCGGCAGGATGCTGGACATGGGCTTCGAGCCGCAGATCCGCCGAATCGTGGAGCTGGACACCATGCCGCCCACCAAGGATCGGCACACCATGATGTTCTCGGCCACCTTCCCCAAGGAGATCCAGGTGGGTTTGCTGGCGGCATTGGGCGGGCTTCCTATTCTGGAGTTGTCCTGGTGGTCTTCCAACCGGGCAGTGTCTGTTGACCATGTGCGCGAGTTAAGCAGGGGCTAGGTTTCAGGTCGCATTTGCCATACCGTGGTTGCCAGGCATGGTATGGTATATTGGCCTGCGGACCGGCTTGGTGGTCCGAGTGAGGCCGGTCATATCTGGCCGCTCCCCAGGCGGCCGGCTTGGTGGTCCGAGTGAGGCCGGTCATATCTGGCCGCTCTCCAGGCGGCCAGCTGGCAGCGAGCGGCACCGCGCGCGGTCATATGTGGCCTTAGCTGACGGAGCGGCGACGGTGCCATGCCCCTTTCGCCGATCAGCCGTCCAGACTTACGCTTCGTTTGTGTGGCGCTATGCCTGTTTTAAATGCGGTAGTGATGATGATGGCCGCACCCAGTGGGGGAGGGGGAAGTTTTGAATGGCGTGGAGGCAAATGATAACTTTTTGTTGGAATGGTGTGCGAATTTCAATCTCACGTGTTTCTAGTACGCCATTGTCCATTATGGCAGGTTTTTAAGCAGGCAGATTAATTTAGAGGCCATTCGGGACACAGCAGCACGGGCTGGAATGTAGAGCGTCCCTAGCTTCAACCCGACCTCGCCTGAAGATGTAGGTCGGTGGATTCTGGCGTTCACTTGTTTCGCGGCGACCCGCTGTCCAAGCGGTAAAGAGTACATCGCTGTCCGAGCTGCATCGTTCCCCAGCTGCCGTTCCTTATCCAGTGCCGTACCGTTCCCCATCGGACGCCGTATCTTTTCCCATCCGACGCCGTATCAGGTGGGTGTCGCTCGCTGTCGAACGCTGTACCGATCCCTGTCTGACGCTGTACCGATCCCTACCCGACGGTGCACCGATCTCTGCCGGACCGCTTACGGATCCCTGTCCGATGCTGTACCGATCCCTGTCGGACGCTGTACCAATCCCTGCCCGACGCCGTACCATTCCCTGTCCGACGTCCTACCGATCCCTGCCCGACGTTGTACCGATCCCTGTCCGACGCTGTACCCTGTCCGACGCTGTACCGATCCCTCTCCGACGCCGTACCGACCCCTGCCCGACGCCCTACCGCTCTCTAACATGCCGTCCAATGGCAATAGGATGTAAACACCATTTTTTTCGAAAATGGGATTTTGGTATCATTCGATTCGTCTCAATGTGATATTTCGTGTTGTACAATGCTAGAAATACTTTGAAATTTATTGAGGGGTTTTAAGAGCCTTGATGTTTGGAAAAATACGTATCTGTAAGAAAGCATGCATGATACGAAGCAAAAACAAAAAACAAAAACGGTAAGTTGCTCAAAAGACGTATGCTTGGCACATTAGACATTTGAATGATGACAAAAGGACGTGACCAAACAAATGCGTCCTTTTGCGTTTGGTTTACAGCGGTTATGAGGCGTGAGCAAAGGACGTTCTTATACGTCCTTTTACCATGTGTTCATTGACAACATTACTTGTCCCAAAGCATGTATGACCACAGATACGTCTCTTGCATCAGGGTAAAGTGCAACCTTAACAAAGCGAAAGCACATCTACTCACTCACACATTTTAAACACAAGCTTTGAACTTCCAGAAACGCTCTAATTTGTCCAGCGTAGTTTGCGCGTCCTTCGCCAGCCATTACTCAATCCTGATACAAATTTGGTATGAGAATGTTTCAACGGATGCACATTGACTATAAAGATAATGCATTTGTTCCATTCGGGCGCATTCTTCGTGCGAAGATCTTGCGTATGCTACTCAAATATATATATATATATATATATATATATATATATATATATATATATATATATATCACCTTTAATACCGGTACCCGTAGGGTATTTCATGTGAAGGGCTGCTTGAATGTTTTGATTGTTCGAGATCATATGGCTGCTCCGCATGATCCATTCACACTACCTTTGCAGGACTTTATTCCATTTTGTGCTGTGACATTTAGACCAGGTATGGCAAAGGCGGTGCTCACTTTTGTGAGATGATTACGTGGCTCTATCGAGGATAGCTGTGAAAAAAACAAACAGGTAACACTGGCGCAAATGTCTGGGTCGCCACAGAACAAGCTCCGGAGATAGGGCCATGACTAAGCGGGAGAGCGCCGGGGAAAAAACCTCAGACCTGGACAATGACGCAGCATCATGGCGACCTCAGACCTGAACTTGTGAACCCCGTCGTCAGCTGCTAAGTCGTCTATATGGATATCTGCGCAACCGTAGCGTTTCATCGGAGTCTCGTCTGCACATACGCCGGGGTTACCATAGAGTTGGACAATGATAAACACGACGTTGTGACGAGAATCGAGTGACCTGCGCTGCCATTCTTCTGCTTCAAAAACAAACGCTGGATGACGTTAACAGCTCCCATACAAGCTGTTTATCACGATCACTTGGCGGCAGAACCCATCACTAGCAAACAACTGGCGAAGGGACGCACATGTAAGAGCGCCCATGTGCATCACCGAGTGATCGACAGACAACTGAAGAAACGGAAAGAGGTACGTCTGATGGGAAGTATCAATATCCCGACCAAGAAGATGAAGCATGACGGCTTTCTTTACTTCAGTGATGTGATCAGGGACGGCAAAATAAAAAAGCTTCTGTGGCGGATAAAGTGACACTGAAAGCCCGAACCAAGACAAGAGACAGCGAGTCACCTTCGGAAGCTAAAAGTGGTCCATGTACGCAGAGGGACCATTGCAATTTTTACGAAGACCGACTACAAGCAAACAAAAGGGCACGGACACAGCATCACAAAGGAAATATTTGATTTTACAAGAGGCTCTGAATGGAGAAGCGGACCTCGAGGAATTGACAAAGGAATTGGCAAAAATTACACCACGCCTGTTCCCACTCATGCTCCTCACGTGAGGCAGCAGGCAGCACTATATCGCGAGAGGCAGCTTTGGATATGTATGGAGGCTCATGCCGAGTTGAAACTGAAGGACCTGCTAACGACCTGAGCACAACGTGACCTGGCACGTGCTCCTGAAATGATCAGCTCGCACCCTTTTGACACCAATGATATATCAGAAGAGAGCAATGACGCCAGCGGCTCTGTGGGCTCAGCCAAGGCCGTCGTGACTTCAAGATAGGTGTCTGCAGGCTGTATTACGGCTGCGAATGAACTATGTAAGATAAAAAATGAACTGTGTAAAATAAGTGCATGCCTCATATGACAATGACCCGGTCAGTACTGCACCTCGGCCCTAATATGCATGCGGGATGACCACCGCCCGGCGTGGTCATGCGTTATGCTATGAAGAACAACGCGGATGTCAACAAATTGCATTTTTGAATCCACTAGAATGCAATACAGCTGGGAAGTTCTTCTTACAATGTTGTATACTGTTCCATACAGCGAAGAGTAGGTTACTGATGTCCGTAAACGTGCTTATCCGGAGTGAAATAAACAGGCATTCAATGAAAATGAATGGTCATATTAACGCATAGGGGCTTTGTCGGGTTTTGCGCACTGTTATTGCAACCGTTACCATGCTAAAAGACGTATGTCGTATGCATACGTATTTTTGCCGTCCGTATCCCTGCCCGTATCCTGTGTTCAAACTACACGTACCTGAAACATACGTCTTGTTGCGAGATCAATGTCAGTTACGTCTGTGGAAATGACGAAGGAAGTCAATAGTGGAAAGACTTAACACGATTCAAAATCTCATTAGGAATGTGTAGCAGGATCCGAACCATCCTCCACAATCATGGGAAGTTTGCAGTTGTAATGATGCAACAAACACTTTTCTAACTCAAGTTAGGGCCTATTTATACACTAAGACACTAAACCGGCTCTTCTGAACACTAGCAAAATGTTGCATGCGTCCGTTTGCCATTGGACGACAGTATCCGACGCCGGGTTCCCCCCTGTCCTACGCCGTTCCCGCCGTGTTGGCCGTACTGGCCTCGATTTGACCGCGGTGACCGCCGTGTGTGCGCAGCGCCTGGCGCAGGACTTCCTGAACGACTACATCTTCCTGGCGGTGGGCCGCGTCGGTTCCACCTCGGAGAACATCACGCAGGAGATCGTCTGGGTGGAGGACGACCAGAAGAAGTCCTTCCTGCTTGACCTGCTGTCGGCCACTCAAAACAAGGAGGGCAACGGCGAGAACGGTAACGGTGGCGGCGGGCCAGCACCCGGCGCCTCTCCGCGCGGCCGACGCGGTCACGTGTCCCGGCAGAAGTCTGGCTGTGCTGTAGCGGCCGAAGGTTAGGTGGCAATGGGAGGCACTACTGTTGTGTGTGCACGCCGTTGTTTTGAAGTTCGGCGTGCACATACAGTGTTGGTCCGTTGGTTTGTCTCAAGTCGAGCAGGGCTGCTAGAGCAGACGGCGGGGATACTGTGATTGTGGACGCGGATCCTGGCCGGACGGTGTGCAGGAGCCGGCGCTGTCAGCAGACCGCCGCGCCCATGTCTCGTCATTGGGACCAGCCGCGAGCGCGGACGTTTGCGGGCCGTCACCGGGTGATCGGCTCCTCTGGCGCCGTCTGTCCGCTCCTGACCTAGTACGCATTGCTATGCGACCCAGCCGGTAGCAGCTCGGTCAGTAAGACGCCGTCACGTCGTTGGCGTCACTACGCGTTCAATCGGACACAGTGACGTCAGACCTCGTCTGACCGCCCGTGCACGTCCTGTCACACCGGACCTGACCTTGTCTATAGCCTGAGCACACTTCACCGTATATGACCCGTCTGAACCATGCCCGACCTGACTTGACCTGACCCAAGCGTATCCCATTTTACCTGGTGTGACTGACACACCGTGACCAGACAGGTTAGGTCACGGTTACAAAATGTGTGACAACTGACCTGGTACACCTCCTCCCCGGCAGCGGCCGAGTCTCTGACGCTGATCTTCGTGGAGACGAAGCGCGGCGCTGACAACCTGGAGGAGTACCTGTACCGGTACGCCGGCTACCCAGTCACCTCCATCCATGGCGATCGCTCGCAGGCCGAGCGGGAGCTGGCGCTCAAGAACTTCCGCAACGGCCGCTGCCCTATCCTGGTGGCCACGGCGGTGAGCGGCGGCCACGGCAGGGGCGGGGTGCTGGCGGGGTGTCGTGCGCCCGCGCCATGCTGGTCATGTGGAGGTGGTGAAGACTGCCTGGAGCGCGACCCGTGTGCGCAGTGGAGGTGGATGATGTCAGGCTCTGGTATGCTCCCACCGGCTGTACATTGGGGCCCATGGGGCGTGTTTGCCGGTTACCAGCGTCGTCGGCTGCGGTGTCGGTCTTGGTGGTGGGTCTGATGCTGTGAGCCGATCCAGCCCGGCCTGAGCTGGCCCTGGCCTACTTTGACCTGACCCTGTCCCTGACCATTTTACCATGACCCTCTGAGCTTGACCCTGTAACCCTGTCTGTCTGACCTTGACCCTGACCATCTGACCCTTACCCTGTCCATCTGATCCTTACCCTGCCCATCTGACCCGGACCCTGCTCATCTGACCCGGACCCTGCTCATCTGATCCTAACCCTGCCCATCTGACCCTGACCCTGCTCATCTGACCCTGACCCTGCTCATCTGACCCTGACCCTGCTCATCTGACCCTGACCCGGTCCATCTGACCCTGGCTGTCCCTCTAATCCTGACCCTGAGCCTCTGACCCTGGCCTTCTGACCCTGACCCTGACCTTGACCCTCTGATGCTACCGGCAGGTGGCGGCGCGCGGTCTGGACATCCCGCACGTAAAGCACGTGATCAACTTCGACATGCCGTCCGACATCGAGGAGTACGTGCACCGGATCGGTCGCACTGGCCGTATGGGCAACGTCGGCCTGGCCACCAGCTTCTTCAACGAGAACAACCGCAACCTGGTGCGCGACCTGATGGAGCTGCTGACCGAGACCAAACAGACGGTGCCCGATTGGCTGGAGAACTACTCGCTGGAGGTGCACAAGTCTTCTGGCCACGGTCGACGCGGCGGCAAGAGGTCAGTACTGCGGCGGCGCCCGGTGGGGTGGCGAGCGAGTGTCGCATGGTGGTGGGTTGATAGATGTGGACTGTGCACGAGCAGGGGAGGGTGAGAAGAAGAGTTCAGATTCAGGTTGTGTTTCACGACAACTCCAATGTGGCATGGTTTTTCATTGCCCTATGTCTTTAAATAGAACGTGTGATAGGTTAGGCCACACCGGGCTGTTGAGCGCCCGCTTAGCATTCAGCGATGCACCAGCAGCCATCACTGCTGCACACGCCGTGCATGGGTCATTTCTGATGGTACTTTAAATTTCACATTTAACGTTAAGTGGGAGCCGATCGTATTCCCGCTTTTAAAGTACGGGTTGGACTTTGGGCGCTAAGTACCAACCCAACTCCGTGTGGGTTGGGCGTAACCGGAGGTAGGCCGCCGTCAGAGATGGTGGTGGCCAATTTTCTTTGCGCATCCTTAGAGGCGCGCGTCGGATGGCGCCTCATGTCTCGAGCTAGCGCTGCGCTGCGTTGCCGATGGTGTCAACGATGTGCTCGGATCGGTGTGTTGTGGCTGTGTTTACCATTCACATTGTATGATGATGGCAAAGTTTGATAATTTTTTCACTCCGTGGGGTCTCTTGACGTCGTACGTGTCATATAGTGATACGCATTAGCGGGCGATAGAAGGGGCCGAACCGTGCACAACGGTTTTGTTTTCTCATAAATTCAGCCGAATGGTGGCAAGCCTCTAAACAGTGCGACTACAAGAGCTTGGGTTTTGGTCGTCTCCAGTTTCATGCCGTTCGTGCAGGACCAATGGTGAAGGCATTCAGTGGCCTGCTGGGGTCGTTCGATGATCAGTGGCACCTGATGCTACAACTTAGGGATTCATTTTGGAACACGACCATTGCGTTTGACTTCGCCTTGACCGAATAGGCTGACCATTGCTGCTGAACTCCGCACTTGCCTGTTGTGGCTTGCCAGTTAGCCGGCGAACCATTCCGTCGCCACTACGTACAGTGCCAGCTCGTCTAACAGTTTCTGGTGCGGCACCGCATCGGAACATTCTTGGGTGTCGTATCCGGATGTTCGGGACCCTTTGCAGCTGGCTTCTGTCATCTGTATGCCGCTGGCAAACAGCGCAGCAGCCGTGGCGTGGTCGGCCACCTGCTGACCACCGACGGCCGCGTAACCTGTCTGCGCCGGCCCGCAGGTTTGGCGGCGGGTTCGGCGGGCGCGACTACCGTCAGCAGAACCGCAGCGGCGGCTACAATAAGAGCAACCAGGGCTACAACCAGAGCAAGATGGGCGGCGGTGGCGGCGGGGGTGGCGCCTTCCCTGCCTACGGCATGCCCCCCATGGGAGGCATGTACGGATATCCGATGCAAATGGGCGGATACGGCGGCGCTTACGCGGCCGCGCCGCCGCACGCCGCCGGTGGCACCGACAACACTTGGTGGGGCAACTAGGCGCGCCGCCGCCGCCGCCCGCCTGCACTCGCGCGCGCCTCTCTCCTATCCGCCTCTGTCGTAGTCGCTGTCGGCAGCAGCCCGCCCCGTCCCCCGATATACCCAGGGCTCGAGAATCGCGCGCCCACCCCGGCCCCAGCCCCCCCCCCCCCCTCCCCTCCCCTCCCGTCCTCGCTCCGCCCGGCGCCCGCCGCGCTCCGGCTCGCTGGTGGCGCGGCCGGACGCGGCACTTCTAATGTGATGTCTGCTCGATAGATGGCACTACTGCTCATGGCGCGGGCCGGCCGTCGGCCTACGCGCCGCCCTTGGCCCTGTCACGGAGACGGGCGCACACCAAAGACGCTCGCGGCTCGGCCGCGCGCGAGACGTCAGCGCGCGACGCGGGTTGGCCACCGGACGTGACGTCACGTGTGCGCGCGCACGCAGTTTTGGGGTGTTCGCTGCTGCCTCTTCGCTCTCATTTGGTGTGTGCGTGTTTACGGCGTTTTTAGAGTTATCATTCCGCATCGTAGTGGGACACTGTGGTGTGCTGTTTGATTTTCGTGCTTTTGCGGTGTAGAAGTACTTGATTACTCAAGCGTTATTATTTCCCTTCCTAATCCAGGAGATAGCTCTAACTATTGCGCCGCGGCGCTTAGGTGTTAATATTTCCACGTTGGACGCGCCGGCCGGGGGTTGGCGCCGGCCGCGACGCTGTAGCAGTTATCGGTAAAACTGTTGTATTCTTTCCTGGCCGGGCGGAGACAGCTGACCGCCCGGTGAGTCAGCGGGCCGAGCCGCGCTGGGCCGGCGGGGCCGCACGCCCCGACAATCGGGCCGCGTCTCTCGTCCCGCGCGCGTGCACACTGCCTCGCGCGCTCGGCGCCAGTAGCAGCGGCGGATGGGGTCCGCAGTCGGTAGGGAGTGCGTCGTCGGTTTTCTGTTTTCTGTTGCCTCGTTTCGCGGGCGCGGCCGCGCCTGGCATGGCCGCGTGTCGCCGCCTCCTCCGTTTGGGTTGGGCGCGGCCGACTGGGCGCCGCGTGGCCTACCGTCGCGATCTCAGGGCAGACGGCCGCGCGTCCGTATTTGTTGTTTCTGGGACTCGGCGGCTGGGCCGGACACGCCCGTGGCCCGGACGCGACCGGCTCGCGCGTCCGACAGCCGTCGCGCACGGTGGTGCGGCCGAGTCTCACCAGGAACAAGTACAAACTGCGCGCACGCGCGGCAGCGGGCTACCGCCGCCCTCGACCGGGCGTCGCGCAGCTGGCGGCAGACCGGTTTGCTTCGTTCGTATTTTGTAGCCTCCGCCAGGGGCGCCGTTATACCGTGTATAGCGGCCGCCGCACAGGCCGTTCTCCGCGCGTAGCCTCTGCCGGGGACGCCGCGTTCTCCCGAGCCGGGGGCCGCGCTGGCCGCCCCGCCCGCGGACGGACCCGGCGTCCCCCAACTCCGAGCGGCTCTCGTCACTGGGGCTGACTTATCATTTTTGTACGTGATCTTGCAAACCGATGTACTATGAGGGCGACCGTGACGGCGCGCCGGGGGCGTGATCAAACAGCTGTATATCTTCTGATCGTAGCGGAGACTGCGGGCCAGCCGAGGGTCAGCGTGCTGCTGAAATACAAGGAAAGAATATGATACCAAACACGTGTGTTTCTTTGCCAGCGGATGGTGCCTGGTAGTGAGGGTCTGAGCTAGACAGAACTACAAGAGCTGAGGGAGACGAGCGGCTGGGTAGACTGTTGTTGATGTCGCGAATTCGTTTTCGTTTTTTGCTGCCACTGCGTTTCATGTTCTTTTTAACCTCTGCATTCAGGCGTTGTGGAGATTAGCCAGGTTTCGACGGCAGCAGATACAGATTGCGTCGCAATCGTACAGCGAATTGCCTACATGCATGCCCGTCTTGATGCGCTCGTGCTGCTCCCTCCTCCTCCTCCCTCCCTCTTGATGTGCTGCTTCCTCCTCCCTTCCTCCTGATGTGCTGCTCCCTCCTCCTCCCTCCCTTTTGATGTGCTGCTCCATCCTCCTCCCTCCCCCTTGATGTGCTGCTCCATCCAGCCCGACTTAGAATTCGAAGGTGTTGGATTTTTTTGACGAAATTAAACATATTGTCAAGGTGATCGGTGCGAAAATTACGAGCGTTTGTCTGGGCTGGGGGTCTGTACTACTCCTCCCACCAATATGTTCAACATTCGCACGATTTGTTGATCCTACAGTGACGGAAATTAGTGACCTCACATCGGTGCTCCGCGCATCAATGGGCTCTTGCACGACCGTCTTCGGCTGCAGCCACCGGGGATCGCACATTCCCTGATGCCAGCCGTGGAGGAACGAAACACTGGGAAGTGTGTAACGGCTCGCCTGCAGCACCGGCGAGTGGTGCATTTTGTTGTTAGGGTTTTTGGGCGCGCCGACTGCATAGCTCATATTGCGCCCATAACGTTGTCATTTAGTTACGTGGTGAGCATATGGAGCGAAACCTGATTTTTGCAAGGAATGAAAACAGTCGGCCATCTTCGGGAAGTTGCGAGTGATTACCAAGAATGTCACTTAGCGTAAGGGTTTTTTTTTTGCTTCGCCTAAGTAGAACAAACACTCCCGGGCGAAAAGTGGGCATAGCTGAACTACGTGGTGCACCGTCAGAAAAGCGGGGCGACGAGGTGACCGGGGTTTCTCACCATCATACAACAAATACCGGTGAGTTTCGTACGTATGGTCCAATACGCAGCATGCAAAGCACAACTTCTCTCCTCGAATCGCGGAAGCTGGGAGACCATAGGCCCAATTTAGGTTTTATACGTTGCAATTTGCTATTTGTGTCATTAATCCAGCAGAACTGCCGCTTGTGTTGCAAGAAAGGTAAAATGGCTGGACAAAAATTTCGGGCTGGAAGAGGCAATCTGCGCGTACATGGCACATGTGATGCGCGTTTTGCGGCTGCGTCAGCGAGCCCATTTCCAAAGATACCGACATGACTGGGAATCCAGCACAGTGTCACCTTTCCAACTCGGTCCAATGCAGTGAGACGCATCAAGATGTCCTGTACGAGAGGACATGATGGGTTGAAAGTTCTCGGGGCCAAGAGGCCGGTCAAAGAATTTGTTAAAACCAGGTACAAGGATTCATTCCCAACTCCAGTAAAACAAAGTGCCTTGATTACAGCTGCCAGTTCGGAGGTGAATACCGACGCGTGCCTTGGCAGTGTGAATGATCGAGTGACAGATCCACTCACAAATGCACAACCGACGCAGTCTGAAGTTTTGGCTCCGTTCGGATAAGTTATTGTGTGCCCCTCGTACGACGCCACGTGCTCTAGCCCCATGGAACGGAACAAGTCAGGTGTCAGGGTATGTTTCCTTGTTTCAGCAAGAGAAGTGTCTGCTCTGGGTGAAATCAGAAGCCATGGGGGGTGTGGCATATGCTGTACCCGCATCACGCTGCAAAGAGGAATGCCACTGGCATCAAGCAAATGACTTACCCTAGCCCAAAAAGGGGCGGAATGTTGATCCGGACCACCATGAAACACAGTTGCTGTGCGACACGAGAAAACTGCATTATATGTCGAGTGAGAAACGAATTGCCGCAGCCTTAGAGCATATCTTTTGTCAAACATTTATCGCCTAGCCGAGAGCGGCGACTCGTTGGCCTCAACAAGAATGCTTGGGATAGGTGACGGTCGAAACGCTCCTGTGATGATGCGGAGCGCTGTATGGTGGATAGTGTCCGAAGAACGCTTGCTTGACTCACTAGCGCTATCATATACAAAACATGCGTAATCAAGCTTAGAACGGATAAATGAGCGGGATAAAAGCATGAGCGTTTTTCTATTTGCACCATATGACGTACGTGTCACACATTTTAAAATGTTCAAAGCTTTAGAGCATCTGTCTCGTAGGGGTTTAAAATACGCCGTATGTGTGAGGCTGTCGAGATATACCCCAAGGTATCTGGCTACCGAATCAGTGGGAATGGGTTGGTCGTAAAGACGGAGAGTCAAGCCACCACATTGACGGCGGCGACAGAAGGGCGTGGCGGCCGTTTTCGCGGTGGAAAATGGAAACCCATTAATGGTGCTCAACGTTTTCAGATGGTCAACAGCCAACTGGAGCTGCCGCTCCATTACATGCGTTGTTGATACGCTGGTCTATATGGTAAAAAAAAAATACGAAGAGAGCGCGGCCGACTGACTGCGTTATGACTTCAAAAATGTCGCCTATCATGGTAGAAAAAAGCGCCACACTTACAACGCTCCCCTGGGGCACACCATTCACTTGCTGAAAAGGTGCTGACACCTCATTATCCATACGTACACGGAAGAAGCGTTCAGCCAAAAAAAAATCTCCAAAAAGGCGCCCACATGATCACGCATGCCATGCTTGAAGAGTTTTAAGAGGATACCTCGTCGCCACGTGGTATCGTAAACGGCTTCAAGATCGAAAAGACAGCACCTACTTGACGCTTCCTTTTAAGACCTTGCATAATCGTGGTATCGAGTGTCAAAAGGTGGTCCACCGTACTACGATTCTTCCTAAAACTGCACTGGGCATTAATAAAAATGTCATGCTGTTCTAAGAACCATGTGAGTCGAACATTGACCATTTTCTCCGCCAACTTACAGAGTGACGATGTAAGTGCGATGGGTTGATATTGTAAGCGATCTAAACCACTCTTCCCCGGTTTTAGAAGTGGGACCACAGTAGCCTGTCGCCATGAGACTGGAAAGTCGCCGCTAACCCAAAATGAATTGAAGATTGCCAACACAATTTTCAACATGCTACCAGGAAGATGCTGAAGAATATTGTTATGCACACCATCAGGACCCTCTTACACGCACCGCAGCATGCTGATAGCGTGCTTTAATTCGACCATGTTAAAGGAATCATTATACATGTGTTTGGTAAAAGAAAAGGCTACGAGTGCTTTTTCGTGTCGCAGTCTATGGCAAACAAACTGTCGTTCTGTACTGACGCCACGACTGCGCTCCAAGATTGCTCGGCCAATCTCGTTTACAACACCCACTGGATGTATGACGTCGTGGCCATTTACATGTAGTACGGGGAGTGGGGTAGAGCAGAACTGACCAGAAATTCGCTTGATCCGTGGCCAGACCTGGGCAGCAGGTGTGACAAGGGTAAGTGTGCAGACGTAATCACGCCACGATTTGCGTTTCGCCTCCCTGATCGTTCGACGCGCGAACGCCCTTGCTTTCTTAAACGCAATCAGATTGGCCGCGCTGTTTCTTCGGTCGAAAGCTTGAAAAGCGCGTTCGCGCACACGAATGGCGTCACGAAAATCATGCGTCCACCAGGGAACGGGTGTGCGGCGTGGATTGCATGAAGTGCGGGGGATGCACCCGTCAGCACATTTTAAAACCAGGGCATTAAAATCCTCTGCAGAGGTAGGCACACTGTCGGGATGAGTGGAAGCTGACGCTTCCAGTCGAGCTTGAAAGTTCTTCCAATCGGCCTTGTTAAAATTGCAGCGCTGGGTCCTGGTGCCTGGAACCCCAGCACTGCGAAATCTCAACCACACCGGAAAATGCTCACTTCCTAGTGGATCGTCGGCCACTGTCCACTCCAGGTGCGGCATGAGCTGCGGGCTAGAAAGGCTGAGATCAAGGGTTGATGTCCGTCCGGAAAGAGGAGTAAAATGCGTCGGCTGTCCGGTGTATGGAATGCACAGGGAAGCATTGTGAATAAAGCCTTCGCACAACCTCCCGCGTGTGTTTGTTTCATCACAGCCCCAGGCGGTGTGATGGGCGTGAAGGTCTCCTAACACTAAGATCGGCGGAGGAAGCTCAGCCTTCATGTGCCTGAGCCCCAGTGATTAAAAACTAGCGCCGGGTGGCAGGTGCAGTGAGCAGACTGTGATGATGCGACTGTTGAAATGAACACGTGCTGCCACAACCTGAAGCGACGATTTCAACTCCAGCCTTCGGGCTGGCATGCTGTGATGAACAACCCGGAGGACACCACCTTCCGCAACGCTGGCAGGGGATGTGCCTCTGCGAAAAACTGCGTGACATGTTAACACGAAGTAGGAGTTCGGCGCCAGCTTTGTTTCTTGCAGAGCTACAGCTGCGGGACACTTCTGGCCAACCTCAGCTTGAAGGTTGAGTGCATTAGCCCTTACTCTGCAATTCCACTGTAAGAACGTCTTTGAAAAGACGTGTTAAAAGAAGTTAAAAGGTCTCACACTTAAAACACGAATTTTTTAAAAATTGCGCCGCCCCAGATGAAGCGTCGGATATCTCAGATCTGGAACCTTGTTCCACAGAACCGTGCATCAGCCTGGAGCGGGGCCTTAGGGTACCCCCGTCACTTGGAGGCAAGGGCCCAGACGGGACACGGTTTGTGCCAGCATATCCCATGCGTGGTGGTGGCGGAGGAGGGGCCATCACTGAGTCCCTGCCCACCAACTGGCGCCGAGGTGGAGCCTCAACCGGTCTTCGTGGTGAGGGAGTATTGCTCCGGGCGGCGTACTCCTTGCCCGCTCCTGATAGCCTATTGGCTGCCTTGAGCCGCTGCTGTTCAGCCAGGCGTGCCCGCTCAGCCTCACAGGCGCGCATGTCGGCTTCCTGGCGCTCCATCGTCTCCGCTACACGCTCAAAGGCACTGGCGAGGGGTGTCTGCGATGAGGGGACCGGTGGTGTCTCAGACGAAGGAATGCCCGACTGCGCGCGAGGACTGCAGCCACGCCGAACCGTCGTCAAACCGTCATTTGTTGGCGATCCAACCGGTGCGAGGAGGCCGGCAGCACGGCGACCACCAACTGCTCGGCTGGTGGGAAGGGAGCTTGGGGTGCTGTCTGCGAGTCCAGCGCGCGAGCCGAGGGTACAAATGATGGGCCGAATGACCTCAGAAGTTCCAGAAACTGAACAACCGTCATTTCGTTGATCACATTAGTGTGAGGCAACGAAGCTTTCACTTTCGATACGTACGATATTTGTGGGCGGGTTTCGTTACGAAGTTCTCGAGCCTCACGGAAGGATACGCTTTTAGAAGTTTTAATTGATATGATTTCCTTCTCCTTGATGCAAGCTGGGCATACACGGTCGTACGACATATGCGGAACCTGATCCCTGCCGCAGCTGACACAGCGGGGTTTGTCAGAAGTACACACTTCGCTGATATGCCCGAGGGACGCACATACGCCATACGATGCGCGGTTCCGACAGTTGGGTTTGATATGACCAAATCGCTGGCACTGATAGCAACGCATGAGGTTGGGCACAAACTGACGGACTTTCACACGGACGTATCCCACACGTATCTCGGACGGTAAGTCGGGGCGACTGAACGTAAGTACGAGGTTGTTGGTGGGCACCAACTCTCCTCCCCCTCTGACAGGGATCTGCCAAGCGGCCGTCACACCAAACTCCGACAGCTCCTCCACGATCTCCTCCTCGTCAACATGACGCAAATCACAACAGTTAACCACGCCCCTGGACGATTTTTGGTGTTGTGTGGTGTCGCTGACATTGACACGTGTTTTTCCCGCTTACCAGCCCCACCTCGAACACGGTAGGAAAATTTAGTTGCTTCCATAGCCCGACTCGCCTCTAAGCCATTAGCAAAATCAACGTACATTTTTCATCCCGGAGCTTGTCACATCTGATAATTTTTCTGAATCTGTCGCAGCCATTTCGTCTCTGAAACGGTGACAGGGACGCCAACCTAATCTCGTCACTTTCGAAGACGAGGATCGGTGGTTCGGGGATAGCAGAGTCTTTTCTGCACCCTGGGGTTATCGTGGTCCGACCAGCTTTCGGAGAAAGGTTGTTTTTAGAGTTAGAGGATGCCATGCAAAGTAGGTTTTCTTTCGGCACTGGGGCTCCCCACCCACCACGGAGCCCAACTGGGGGACGGCCCAACATTCCGTCGGGAGGTGGTCGCCGCCAGGGCTACCCCGGTGCTATACGGGGCGAACGATGCCTCCCACACGGCCAGGTGTAACCGGGGAGACCCGTCTCCGTCCTGCCGTGGTTCAACGCTGCCGCTCCTTGACCCTTAAAGCCGCTGCGCGCGGCCAGGCGCCCCAAGCGGAGACCCGCACGGAGGATCCAGCCGCAGCACGAGCGACAAGCCGTTAGACCAGTGTGGGGCCCCACGGGCCCCCCGCGCCCCGGATATCCTGGCAGAAGTGGAGTGTTGGGACGCGCCGCGACTGACCCGCACGACGCGCCCCTCAGTCGCCAGGATCCGATGAACCCGTGGTAGCGGGCGAGGGGGCACAGCGACCCCGGTAAAACGAGGCTCGGGAGTGATGCGTGACCCGGATGCGGGAAAGCGGGTACGGGAAGGGAGTGAGCGGGACAAGGAGAGGGAGCTCACGTACCTGCAGGGTCGCTACGCCCTGAGAGGAACAGCTTGCGCTGTCCACCAGCTACCGGAGCTCGGACCCGACGGGGTGCTAGTCCCCTACACCGGCCAAAGCCGGTGCCCCTGTGGGAGACAAATGGTGCGCGATGGAAGCGTACCGGTATGTTCTGTTTGTTTGCTGCGATGAACTGGTGAACCGGGGCGCCATAACGGGTTGAACCGGCGCATGTCCCAGGACAAGCTAACGGGAACCGTGAGAATCACGGCACGGCGGCAGGGGAATAGGGCGATTTACTAGGGTCTGATAGGCAAGATCGGCCATCCAGGGATATCAGGATGCGTTCAGGGCGGGTGTCTGGCCGTCGCCTGGAAGCCGCGGCCGGCAGAGTTCGGCGAGGCGATTCAAGGGGGGGGGGGGGGCGATAAAGCCGAAATATGGCGCGGCGAGGGGGAAGGCCGCTGCTAAAGGCCGAATCTTCACGTATCACAGAGTGGGGTGGACCACCGTGGGAAATATGCCAGTAAGCTACGTTGCTGAACCTCAGGCCGGCCACGGCTTGCGGTGTTTTCAGTGCAGACTGCCGCTCGACCATGACTGGGGAAGCTTGCCGCCTGGCCATCAAGATCGAGGCTCCACATGGGGGCTGGGACCATCTGACGCCAGGTGCACGAACAGTGAAGTTTGCTTGTGGGGATGAGGAGCAGCTTACTCCCGTCGCACGGACCATAGAAACAACCGCATTACCGTAAATCGTTTACGCGTATTCATTTCTGAATCAACGCATACATTCAAGAACTTGATGTGACCAACATACAGCAAACGCTTTGTCTTTGGGAAGGCAGCTTTAATCTAGTCTTTCCACGTTACACGCCGTCTACAGCCCGGCCCACCATTTCCTTCAGCTTATCTGAACTCAGGAATGGGCGGCTCAGTGACGGTGTGTTCTCGCGGAGATACAAAACACGGCCGCGAGTCGTCGCCCGCCGCCGGACGCGGTCATCGAGGTACAGACGACCGTGGTCCCGGTCCGCACACACGGGGACCTCCGGTCCCGCCGGTGGACCATCACTACCTCCAACAACAGCAACTCGCAAAACGACACTGGCGCCACATCACATCCGCCCTCCGTAACTCACTCACCAATCACCACTTCACTGGGAACAAAACGCCTATGGCACGACGCTAAGCCACTGGATGACTACACGCGGCACTGTCCGGGCGCGCGCTATCACAGATGAAGCCGGCGGCGCGTAGGCCGCCGGCGGCCGCGGCTGGCCCGTCACACGTCCAGGGGATCGAAGCCACGAGACAGCCGGGCCGTCTCGGCGCGCTTGCGCTGGCTGCTGCGGCGGACAGCGTCGGCGCGCCGGTACGGCTCGTTCTTCAGGCCCAGCAGGATGTCCTCGAGCGCACCGTGGTACACCTCCTCCTGGCCAAGCAGCTTCTTCTCGCGGACGTCGCCTCCATGCGCGCGCGTCTCCAGCTCCTGGATCACCTCGCCCTGGCGGAGGGAGACGAACGTCAGTTGACGTGCACACGGCTCAGCGGAGCGCACAGGCCGTTACAACCAACGCGTAGTGGTTATCTCTCCATATATTGGAAAAGCCAGCCGCTTCCTTTCACAGGGCAGAGACCGCTGACCGTCATGGGCAAGAAACAGTGGAAAGCCCAGCGGTACCGACACAGTGTCTTTGGGAATGTGAGCCAACTCCGGAACCAACTCCGGCCGTGTCGTGAGGATCGGTTCCATACGCCGGAGCACGCGTGGCCAGGCGGCAACGCCAGGGAGCACGAGCAGGCGCCCGCACAACGGCCGGGTGCCGTTGGAGAGGGGGCTCCGAGTCAGCTGGAATGGAGCGGCATGCCCCGACCGCCACCGGAAGCCATCCGGCGGGTCCAACGGCACGGAAATTTAACATGCAAAGACAGGCATTTTTCCCGAACGATGTGACGTGAGCGGCTCCGGTGACACCTGAAAAGCGCTCCGAGGCTCGGACGGCGGCCACAGCCCACACCGCCTCGCTGTGTGCTGTGAGTGCAGCGGGTGAGGCGGTGCGCGGGGAAGGACGAGGCGGGACGGCGCCGGCGCAGGCGATGTCAGTCGGACCCGAACCCGCACCGTAGCCAGACACGCGCGCCGGTACACCAAACCGCGGCGCAATCGCCGCCCAACGTCCCGGCCAGCCGCCTCACGGCCGCCGGTCTGGCTACGGCCCGGGCGCGGCCCAACTCACGCTACTGACGCTCCGTCACCGCACGACGGCTGACGCAAGCACAGCTTCCCATGCCTGCCGACAGGTGGCAGCAGTGGCAACGCGTGCTCGGACGCGAGACGGCCTGGGGTGCGCGCGATGGCAGGTGCTGTGCATACCGCGACTAGCACATATTCGCAAGCGCGGTGAGCTATGCATGCTATGTTTGCTGACGGTGGCTGGTGGGTCCCCAGGCGCTAATGCACTCACCGAGGATCTTATCCCCGGTGACACTGGTGAGAAGGCAAGCAAACCATGTTGACAAACGTGATAAATCCCGCTAGAGACGAGGACAAGACAAAACATCAACCTCCCCAGTCAATCTGCACCTTTACACACCTCACTTGAATCGGCACTTCCACGTAAACAAACATGAGAAGGCCCAAGATGAGAAACGCGATGCAGAAAATCAATCGGACGATGCGTGCCCACCGCCACGATTTCAAGAAGCGAACGTCCTTGCCGGTTATCTGCTGCTTCCTAATTCACAACCGACCTGCTGTTTCTTGACATTGATCTTGTTGCGCTTGGCCACGTTGGTGACGTTGTTGTTGTCGCTCTGCGCCGCTGCCGCGGCGGTGGCCGCCGCCTCCAGCTTCCGGCGTTGCTCGTTCTCCTTCACGGCGTTCTGAAGGTGGGGCCGCGGGTAAGCCCATGAGCGGAACCGTGCCCAGCCGAGCTGTCTAGCACGGGTACGGCCTGGCCGGAGCCAGGTCCGACAGGGTTCAGCAGGCACCGCCCCTCCCCGGCCGCAGCTCAGTTATGGTCTGCGTGGCTGCCACCACACGCAACCTCATCCCGGAAGACGCCACAACCCAACAGGCCGGCGCCTAACGGCCGATCAACGACCATCGACCGCCGATCCGCCTGATCATTGGGCTGACCCAGACCAGACGGCAACTCATCGGGAGATCGGCTCCCGGCCACACAGGACCGCCGATCCGCCTGATCATCGGGCTGGCCCAGGACAGACAACTCATCGGAAGATCGGCTCTAGACCACACAGGACCGCCGATCCGCCTGATCATCAGGCTGGCCCAGGACAGACAACTCATCGGAAGATCGGCTCCCGGCCACACAGGACCGCCGATCCGCCTGATCATCAGGCTGGCCCAGGCCAGACAACTCATCGGGAGATCGGCTCCAGGCCACACAGGACCGCCGATCCGCCTGATCATCGGGCTGGCCCAGGACAGACAACTCATCGGAAGATCGGCTCTAGACCACACAGGACCGCCGATCCGCCTGATCATCGGGCTGGCCCAGGCCTGACGGCAACTAATCGGGAGATCGGCTCCAGACCACACAGGACCGCGAGCCGCGCCCAGCCGCGCCCTTTAGCCCCACCTGGAAGGCCTTCACAAAGCGGCTGAGCGTGGCGAAGAAGGTGGTGGTGTTGGTGGTGCGTGTGCTCTCGCCGAACAGCTCCACTACGCGGCTGAACGCTTCCTGCGCAGACGTGTACTCGGCCCGCACCCGTCTGACGGGGGCAGGGTGAGGTCGGGTCAGGTCAGGTTAGGCTAGAGATGCTCCAAACACATGGGAGCCAGTCCAGCACTGCTGCATACCGAATACCTAAGCCAGCATTTAGCAAACACCTGCCTTTGAAGGCGTGGCTGCGACCACATGCTACGACTAATGACATGACGTGGCTAAGTCTGAGCCACGCCATTTTATATCGGCATGGCACAATCCCAGTGGTAGCCAGTGCACCGGCTCCATCTCAACGCTAGCCATTCCGCAGACGACCTTCACCTCGGCTGCTACAGCGCCAGATACCTGACCAAGGCATGGCTCATGCACGGGTTTGCGTCAGTACAACCGCACTGGGACCCGTAAAATGGCATTCCATTCGCGACCGCCAAACTGGTTGCTCGGTACCAACGTGGTTTCTTTGCATTATTTGCACTTTTATTTGCCTGTATTTCCGCTTGGTACGTAAGTATCTGACCTCATGGCCGTTCCCCCAACAGCATTCACCTACCTTTTAAAAGCAAAACAGGGGCGACAGAGACTCCTGCCTGTGCTCGGCCTCACCTCCCACAACAGGACAGCCCCGACATCGACGGAGCTTAATTCCGGATACAGCCCGCCCACGCCGGAACTCACTGACCGGAGTCGGGAGGGGGCTCACCGCAGCTTCTCCTCGGCGTTGCCCACGAAGTCGCGCAGAGTCACCTTCATGGCTTCGTCTTTGACATTCTGCCGCACGAAGCTCTCGCGCCGCGCCGTCTCCATGCCCTTCTCCAGCTCGTGCACGTCTGCACCGAGGTTCTCCAGCGACGCTGCAAGCGCGGCGAGCGCGGCGAGCGCGTCACGTCACAAGCATGCCACGTACTCAGCGACAGCGAGGCCGGACTCAACGCGCGACGTCATAGACACGCACCCGACAGCGCGATGGACGGGTTTAGGCACTCCGGCTGCGACGCGCGTGTTCAACCACGGTGCGGAGAGGCAGTACAGCGCCGCGAGCGGGCCACACTTGCCGTGTCACTGCGGCAGAGCACATGTGTGTCATGATGGCACGCTTCTAGCGATAATGCTCTGTCCACCACATCGCCATCACTGGGCGGCGCTGTACCGAGAGCACAGCGGGCCGGCGCCGGCTGCGCCTCGGCAGTGGAGGCGTCACACGTCAGCACACTCCGCGCCAGCCCACAGCTGGCATGGCTACATCCCGCTCCACATCCACCACCGCGTCAGCATCGGCTCGGTCGCTCACCCTGGGCCGCCTTCTCGACGAACGTCAGCTCGGCTTCGAAGCCGACCGCCTCCGGGACGCGCTCGTGGATAGTCTGCGCGATGTAGTGCAGCAGGCAGCGCCGTCGGTCCGTCGACTTGGTGTCCGTCAGGTTGTCCAGCGACTGCAGCTTGAAGCCGTAGGCCGGGCCACGTTTGGCACTGTTCATGTAGTTGCCGAAGGCCAAGATTACCTCGAGCACGCGTCGGAACCGCTTCGAGTGGCTCACAGAGTTGGAGGCGGCCACCACAGCGTGGATTTGCTGCGGACGCACGAGAGGGCGGCGTGGGTGAGGTCAGAGAACGGTCGGCCACACACGACCACCCATACCTGTGTACAGGCCGTGGGCCGCCACACGAGACCACTCATGCCTGTACACAGGCCGTGGGCCACCACACGAGACCACTCATGCCTGTGGACAAGCGATGGGCCGCCAGATACGCCAGCCGCACTCCATTGTTGCACTCGTGGCCCACACACGCACCAGCAAGACACCGAAGCACGTTCACAATCAACTTCGACGCAGCCGAACGGCAAACATGCACGGTGCCACCCTAACGGCCGCGCCCGCGCTGCTCAGCTGATGCTGGTCGGCGCGGTTGGGCGCGGCGCGGCGTGCCCAGCGCTCCGCCACGGCTGGCGCTTCACTTCACTGACCGGCTGAATGAGGTGCATGTTGTCGAAGAAGTTTCCCATGTAGGCCATGACGGCCAGCTTGTTGGCCAGCCGATCCACGCGCGACAGCTGGATCAGGTATTGGTCCTCGTCTGTCAGGGCCGACACGTCCTTCTTGTCCGCCTCGTACCGACGGTACAGCTTGGTCTGGCGGCGGGCGGGGGACGCCGTCAGCGACTGCCACCGGTCAGCGCTCATGTGACGCCGGGTACGACCAGCACCGTACCCGAGACGGTGGATGAGTCGGAGCGAAATCACGAGCGACGTCTAGCTTCAGGTCACTCTTAGAGGGCCGATTGACCAAAGGAAGGTCAACCGAAGAAAGGGCTCATCCACTGCGCTGGGTACACTCCCACATTGTTATCTACTGCGATGGGGTTATCGCAAACGCTGCTTACAGCCGACGCTTCAGAGGATAGCACTGCGATATCCGGCACAGGCTGCAGCCTAGCCGCCTGGTGCTATTTTGCAGCGTTCAATACGCCAAGCTCACGTAAATATTGTCATGAGGCGCTTATTACACCTGCAATGCACCCTCCCGACGAGGATCAGGCCGCCTGCAGGGAATATCTCGGCGAGAGAAAACCGACGGTTTTATGGCTTTGACCGATGACTTTAAATTGCAACGATCACCAAGTCCAATCGAGCCACGGTGGATGTGAGCAGGACGCGGCCAACGACTAGCTCGACACCGCAGTGAGTTTTCTATTCCACCTACTTAGTCGTAATCGTTCTCCTCCCCGGTCACAATTTGCCAGTAATGCAGATCAGCCAGCAAAGCGCTCGCCGGGCGTCCCACCCAACATATCATGCTCGATCGAATAACACTGTGAGATGGCTGGACTCGGCGCCGCGTTCCCCCACTGCCCACTGACCTCCTCCTCGGTGGGTACCATCCTCTGGAGCAGCTCCACCAGCTCCAGCGGCAGCTCCTTTAGGCTCAGCAGGTTGATGGACCTGACTACCTCCTCCACCGGCCGGTCCAGCTTTCTCCGGGATATGGCTGTCCAAGACAAGCGGCACGTCACGCGACTCACACAGCACAAACCCACCTAGTCTCCATCACACCGTGGTACTGTAACCACTTGCATGGCAAATCGCTTGGTAGCCAAACAACCCTGGTCCCACCCGCGCAGCTGTTCTAGCCAGCCGCGACCGGACGTCCAGTGCAGTAATGCATGTCCCCCCGAGTACGAGGTCCAAGTGGCGAGCGTCCGACACGCGTCTAACCACGCGTCTCTGTTGTCTGACTCAGGGCTCGGGGAAAACACAGTCTCCCAAAGGACGTCTTTCGGGGGGAAAGGGATGCCGAACGTCTTTTCTAACCATGCGTAATGCGTGGGGTTTCCTATCTCTCGCAATTCACCTGCAGTTCGCAGCCAGGTACGCCCCAGCCGCCGCTTGTGCTCCGGCAGGGAGGTCTCCGCACTGACCTATGTTCCTCAGCCGCGTGTGCTCCAGCAGGGAGGTGCGCTCGGGGCGCTTCATCCGTTTGCTGCCGAGCGTCGCCAGGCCGTCTGTCCCGTCTGCAGAGCCGTTCGCCAGCACGCTAGTGCCAATCTTGAAGTTCTCCTCGAAATCGCCGAAGTCGATCACGGCCAGCATTTTCTCGTCGTCAAGGTCGTTGAAGACGGTTCCACGCACCTAACACAGACGGGGAGGGCATGAGGCGAGATGAAGCTATATTCAACAACTTGGTTATACCCTCCAAAAATCTAAGACATCGAAAACAACGCCTTTCCTTGCAACTGAGTGAAACATTGATGGAGGCATCAAGATCCAGTCTCAGCACGGACAAGTAAATTAAGTGCGAGCAGCCAGTAACCACAGCCGCCGTCAACGCCGGCACGGACAAGCCACAGACGTTATCATCGGGAAGCAAAGCACAATTCTCCTGTGGTTGAGAGTACCACCTGGCTGACTCAGCCTCATGCCAACTCCATAAAACCGTGGCCGCAGCCCCCGCACCAGCCCTCCCTGCCACTCCCAATACCGGCGCTGTTTGTCATTGGGGCTTTACGACGCACTCAGCTGCTGAGGCTAGATGGCGTTCCTCCCTGCGGTTGCCGGCCCCTGGTACCGGCCCTCCCTGCGGTCGCCGGCCCCTGGTACCGGCCCTCCCTGCGGTCGCAGGTCCCGGTGTCGGCCCTCCCTGCGGTCGCCGGCCCCGGTACCGGCCCTCCCTGCGGTCGCCGGCCCCCGGTACCGCACTGCCCCGCGTCTCGCCTCTCCGAGCGCCTCACCTGGTTCGGCTTGAGCGCCGTCCAGTTGAGCGTTGGCAGCTTGTATTTCGTCTGCAGGCGGCGTTTGATGGTGAGCGAGCTGTCGGCCGGCAGCTGCAGCTGGCCGGGCGGCGGCGGGGGCGGCGGCGGTCCGCCCCGTCCCAGCGGTTGCGGCGGCGGCGGCGGCGGCGGCGGCGGTGGTGGTGGAGGTGGAGGCGGAGGAGGGGGCGGTGCAGCTGATGCTGGCGGGGCGGCCACCGAGTCCACCGGCGCCACCGCACCGCCGGCCCCGGTGGCCGGCTGCGGCGTCTTGGAGAGCGTCTCCAGCTCCTGGATCTTCGTCTCCAGCATTGATTGCCGCTGCTGTGACTCCTCCTCTTTCTCGGTGACGGCACGGCGCAGGGTGGTGACTTCCTCCGTGATCTGGCAGCACGGCCAGAAGCCATCAGCTGGGACGACGCCAGGGACGCGATGGCAGAGACAGTCGCATGCACATTAAAACGGAACAGCGAGCGACCCTGGCTGGACACGTGCCAAGCACGCCGAAATCCTGCCCTGCCCGGGTCGCAGGGGTAAAAAAAGTCAGTTTCCGTCAGTCAGAGTTGGCTGATCTCCACGCAAGCTTCATGTCCAATGGTCTTCGCCAAGGTCATACTACGCTCAAGAGCTGGTCCGGCCCTAAATCGCTGCCGAGCCGAGGCACAATGGCGTTTCCACTGCGGACAAGTACTGCCTGCAGCGTCTGCTCAGCAGCTGGTCTGCACAGCCGGTCTCACCTGCTGCGTCTGCTCCAGCAGCTGGTCTGTACAGGCGGTCTCATCTGCTGCGTCTGCTCCAACAGCCGGTCTCATCTGCTCCAACAGCTGGGCTGTACAGCCGGTCTCACCCGCTGCGTCTGCTCCAGCAGCTGGTCTGCACAGGCGGTCTCACCTGCTGCGTCTGCTCCAGCAGCTGGTCTGTACAGGCGGTCTCACCTGCTGCGTCAGCTCCAACAGCCGGTCTGTGCAGCCGGTCTCATCTGCTCCAACAGCTGGTCTGTACAGGCGGTCTCACCTGCTGCGCCTGCTCCAGCAGCTGGTCACGCTCTCGGCGGACCTCAGCGGCTGCCAGCTCGGCGTCGGCCACCTTCTGCAGCGCCCGCGCCTCGGCCTCCTGCAGTTCCTCCTGCGTTTGCGCCAGCTCAGACTCCAGCTCTTCCACCCGCTCGATGTAGGCGGCCTTAGTCATCGAGTCCTCCATCAGCGCGGCCACGTCGAACACGTTGTCCAGGTACGCCGAGATCTGGACCTGAGAATGGCGCCGCAACCACGGGGCGTCAGGAGCCGGGCGCGGCGGCGTGGCAGGGGGGGGGGGGGGGTGCGCCAATGCAACAGGCCTCCTCGGAACTCTCCACGCTTACCGCTGCCGGTAATGATGGCGAATGCTGCTATCAGTGGCACAGGCATCGTGGCAGCTCACGATGCACCCAGCAGGGAGCTGATCTGCCCGTCCGCGGCCGTCCATCAGTCCCAGATGGACCGTCTGGTCAGCACGGGTATCGGTTGCCCGGCCCGCTTGGCCCACGCTCAGAGACGGTGAGGACGGCGGCCGCAGAAGAGCCCGCGGGCGATGGGCGCGCACATAGTCCGTGAGCCTCCGCACACTCATGTCCGCCTCACCAGCGTGGCCGGCCACAGGCACGCCGACAGGGCGCCTGTCGGCGGCTGGCCGAGCGGCGCGCTGGCAAGGTGAGGACCGGCAGGCCTCACGGCAGACCGTCGTCCTGCGACCAGGGCCGCGTCCTCACCTGCAGCTCCTCGCTCTCCGTCTGGCGCAGCTTCTCCAAGTAGCTGTCCAGACCCAGCATGGAAAACTCGTACTGCAGGTGCACGCGAAAGTTCATGTCCTCCACCGAGTGCACCACGATGTTGACGAACTGCATGCAGGCCACCTGGCGGCCGGAGGAGGCGAGCGGTGACAAAGCTGCGCGGCCACGTCACGCGCCCAGCACGCCTGAGGCGGCCGCCTGTCGCCGCCTCAGGCGCGGCTCGCTCGTCCGGCGGCGCCAGCTGGGGTGGGAGCCGCACGGCAAGCTCAACAGCGCCAGCTTCGGGCTCTGTGCAATAACGGCGCCGGTCAAACCGTATGTACGTGTGACTTGTGTACGTTATAGTATAGTTTGTGCGCCAACTCTCTGCTGTACTAAAATTCGTTTGCGGACGGAAGACCCAAACATGAAAACCGAGAGCATCTCTCACCGCATGAGTGGACAGTCATCTTCAGCATGCCTGACAGCGGGTCCTCCCCAGGGCCAGCCCCTACCGACGCACCCCCGGCACCTACCATGAACTCGATTTGAAAGACCTCGAACTGGACGAAGTACTTCATGAGCGTCTGGAAGCGGCGCTCTTCGGCGCACACTTCCTTGAAGTTAGTGAATGCGCCCAGGATGATCTGGTGGCCGCCCTTCACCAGACAGATGGCGGCCAGCAGCTCCAGTACCAGCGCTTTGGTGCTGCCGGCACCAGCGGACGTGGCGATCAGGCGGGAACCCATCCGGGGACACGGCACCGCGCCGTCATGCTAGACACCAGCTTATGTCAGCGGCCAGCCCGCTGAGGCTGCATGCAGGGACGCTCCGGCGTACCATATCAGCCAGTCTTCTCGTATCGCAGTCGTAAAGTATGCATGTATATATATATATACATATATATATATATATATATATATATATATATATATATACATATACATATATATGTATATATATATATATATATATATATATATATATATATATATATATACAAATATACACACATCATTTCAGATTTCTTCGCCGCATATTATGTGCCCATCGCTTTAACGGCACACACAAAGTCGGCATAAACGACCAATTACAATCCCCTCCGAGGCACTCAAAACGCCAAACGACACTCGCATACAACTGCGGGTAAACAAGCCGTAAATCGGCGGACGGACGCCGACAGCGAGCACAGATACCCACACGAGCGCCTACCATCATACCAAGCTGCCGAACTCACACGCACTGGGTGTCCATTGTCCAGATCAAGTTCAACACCAGATTTCTATACAGGTTACGTGCGCTACGCTTGGCGCTGACCCAGCACCACAGAAATGAGAAGAGCAGGATGACAAAAGACATTCATCAAATAATCGGATACGAACAAAAATGCCCCGGGTCACTGTCCAATTGCTGGACGTTACGACAGCACCAGGCCCCGCAGCGTCACACACAAGGACGGCGCTGGCTGTCATTTGGTATGAAAATGTTGTTACATGAACCCCTTTGCACCAGGCTTGGGCAGACCTATTGACTCATGTGAAATCTGGCAGCGAAACAGCTGGCCACGATACGGCCACTGCTTGCCACGTGTGCGCGCCTTGGTCTGTATTTTTTAAATACCAAAAATGCGTCCACATTGCGGCGCACATGTCCACGCAATGCGTCCACACTGCAGCGCATGTGTCCACGTAATGCGTCCACATCGCAGCGCATGTGTCCACGTAATGCGTCCACATACATATCCCACTGATGGAAGACCGCCGCAGGGTGGCTAATTCTTCTGGAGTTGGCAGGTCATGTTGTGACCCCGAGCTCGGGTGCCTCGGTCCGGCGCCGGCTGTTGCCCGTTAGCTGCGCGGAGTCGTGTGTCGTGAGTCTGAAATCGTGTGTCGTGAGTCTGAACTCGTGTGTCGTGAGTCTGAACTCGTGTGTCGTGAGTCTGAACTCGTGTGTCGTGAGTCTGCACTCTGGACACGACTGGCTCCCGTATCTCGGCCCCTTCCGGCCAGCAGCCACCCAACTCAGCAGGCCACTTCCCGCTGAGAGCCCCCCCCCCCTCCCCCCCCGGGGCGTCCTTACCACATCCCGTCGTGATAGTTGGCAGTACAAACCGGCTTTCTGACAGCGAGTGGACATGACAGGGAGCTAGCCTGAGCTTCCTCAGATGTCAGAGCTGCAGGCTGAGCCGGTTCCGGCTGGAGCCGCGGATTACCACCTTCAGCCGCTTAGGTCAGTGCTCACGACGGGCCTTGATCCTCTCCGGGTGCGCCAAACCCACTTCTTAAATCTGCATTAAACAACACATGTCCGGAGGGTCTCTCTGGACCTGTCTATGACGGCAGAACAACGGAGCAGCAGTCCTATCGACGACATCCCTCTGTGGCCCTGGTGAAATCTCATAATCTCTGCGGCAGGAGGAGGGGGCATAGTCTCTATCCCTCTGAGTCATGAGATCGTGTCCCCGTCAGCAGGGCCGGGGGTCTCCCGTGAGCCGGGTCATGCGGTCTCGCAAATCACCCGCTCGGGCCTGGTTTCACAACACGGAACTACGAAACCACCAGCCCTCCGCTCACGCCGCGCCAGTACACGGGCCGGAAACACCCCAATCTCACTTTATAGTCGGATACGCGAGACGTACACGAACAGAGCATGCCTATGAGACGAGGTCGCCTACGATACGGTATGCTTGCAAGGCGTGATTTATAACTATAAAGGCTCGCAGTATGGTCTCACGAAGCAAGGTAACGGTGTTCTCTCCCACAGACGGATGAAGGCCAGGACGGCACGGCATCGAGGCGCCCCGGTCCCCTCGCACGTGACCGGTACAGAACGCACCCCAATCGGCCTCACCACGGCAGTGCTGGTGTTGGTGTTGTACGGTGTTGTAGCTGCTGTACTTATTACCCGTTGATTGCCTGCGGGAGGCCCGGAACGCGTGCCCAGCCCGACCCTACTCGTCCACGTGTCGGCTACCAACTGTCTTTCGAGCAGACGCGACACCACGATGGCGAGCACGACCCAACACGCCAGACGTACGAAGCCATACAGCGTGGAGAATCGTGCATCTACCAGCGTATGGCGAACAGTTTGTTATATGTACGCCACGAAAACAATATTGCAGCCGCACGGCGGACATCAGGGCTTGAGCGGTGGCCGTCAGCAGTCACATACTCAGTCAGGTTCCTTCTAGTGCCGCCGAGTTATCAGTCTGATAGCAGTCCTGACCATGAGGCGGGGTCATGAGCCGCGGCGGGTAGTCTCCCGGGGCATCACCCACACCGACTCAACCGAAACGGCACGTCCGACACTGGAGCAAGCCGTCTCCAGCTATGTGGGGTCGCTGGGAACGCGCCACGTGGTGGCTCGGTGCACTCCCAATCGCCAAGCAGCGGCCATTATATCCATTAACTGCATTAGCTAGCTCAAGCAAATGACCTCTCAAGGCTCTATAATCAAACCAGTACATCTGTGCAGTTCTGCTACATAGTGCGTGCGTGCGTGCGTGCGTGCGTGCGTGCGTGCGTGCGTGCGTGCGTGCGTGCGTGCGTGCGTGCGTGCGTGCGTGCGTGTGTGTGTGTGTGTGTGTGTGTGTGGTGTGTGTGTGTGTGTGTGTGTGTGTGTGGACTCGAGACGAATGAATTCGCACGCAACGCCCGTCCTCAAACATGGCTCTAACAAGCCTCATAACGCTCTGGCAGCGATAGGACCCCGCCACGGGCTCCGCTTCACTCTGGCTCATGTAATTCAAAAGGTGCAGCCCAGGGCATCGTCCTCCTCCGATGCACTGCCCGGCCAGCCCGAGCATGTCAGCTAGAGGCAGCTGCATAGTTCGCCTCGAGAAGAACCTGCCGCCGCCCAGCTTGTTTGCGACTTGAGCGCAGATGGACGCTGCGAGGTGTTGTACAGCTGTTGCTGTAACGTGTTGTTCGAACAGAAACAGAACAGAGCAACCGGTTCTGACGTTTTGGAGCTCCACACCGTCCAGAACCGAGCAGGTCAAGCTGGCCACGTTCGGTGCTGGTATTGGAGCGGCTCGCCGCCTGCTGCGTCCTCCGTCGTTCCGTACACACATCACCGACCTAGTGAAGAGGCCCAGCCCGAGTCGAGCTCTGGAGCCCAGCCTGACGCCGCACCCGCCCAACCGGAGCCCACGCTAGCAGGGCATCAGCAGCGCCGTGGGTGAGCCAGGCTGGTCCGGAGCGCGGCCGGGCCCGGGGCGCCCGATGCCTGGCCACTGACGAGCGGCCCCCGCAACGGCCGTCCCTGGCACCTGTATGGGCCCGGCCGAGCCGGCCACTGGCCCCACCGCGCAGTGACAAGCTGCTGGTGGGATGGTCTTTTGCCGACAATGTGAAAAGCCGCCAGCTGGGTGAGCAGCTGCTGAAGGCCTCGGCAGCTGCCGTTAAAATGAGCAAATACATGTGCAGCGAGCAGCCATCGACGGCGTGAGCAGCAGCCCGTGGCGTGAGCAGCTGCCAGCGCGGCGGGGTGGGGAAGGGGTATCCGTTCAGTCGGGTGGCAAACTCACCGTAAGCTCTTGTGGTTAAGGCTGAGGGCGATATTGTTGATGGCCTCTTGGTGTTCAATAATCATGTTAAAGCCGTACTGAAACCAGTAGACATAACGCGTCAAGGATCATTGGAGGCAGAGAAAAGACAACGAAAACGGTGCGCGGTTGTGTTCGCAGCAGTTCATCCACCAGGATCGTTTGCGCTCACAGGGTTCATTCTTCATTCTTACCTATTACAAAATCTCGGATTCCGTCCCTTCTTGTTTCCAATATCTTTGAACACTTGCAGGTGCTATTACGGTTTTTGCCACCCAACTGCTGAGGCTTTATACATAGCTTTGCCTGCCTTTCACCCCCTGCGCCTCCCCGTCACCTGCCTCTTTTCCTCTAACCCATAGTTTGCTCTCTCCCCCTCGTTCGCCACCTGTCTTTCGACGCTCGACCGTCACCTGTCTCTCACCGACTCACCTGTCACCTGCCCCTCTCCCCTAACCCATCGTCCGCCTCTCAGCCCCTCACCCTTCACCTGTTTCACACCCTCAACCGTTACCTGCCTCTCTCCCTCTAACTCATCATCTGCCTCTCACCTCCTCACCTGTCTCTATCCCTCTAACCCATTGTTTGTTCTCTCACCACCCGCTCGCCACCTGTCTCTCACCCATCAACCGTCACCTGCCTCTCACCCACTCACCGGCCGCCTGCCCCTCTCCCTTCAACCCATTGTCTGCCTCTCAGCCACTCGCCCGTCACCTGTCTCTCACCCCCTCATCCGTCACCTCTCCCTCTCCCTCTCCCTCTCCCTCTCCCTCTCCCTCTCCCTCTCCCTCTCCCATTCACTCACCGATTTGGAACGCCTAGCAACTAAAAAGCAGCTTGACGACACCTCTGAGCACATGGAGCTACGTAGCACTTCCTTTTTAACAGCGCTGCACACGAACGACATGATGACACAAACAATGAAGCCTCTGAACTTGCCATAATCCCATACATAAGCAAAACATTTACGGAGCCACTTCCAAACCAATGAACATCTACCGGACATGCTCTCATCATACTCGATATCACGATATCCGAGGCGATGGGAGAGAACACTCCCGTTCATCGGTTGACCAAAACTAAACAAAAACACTGAAGCAGGACATTAAGCGCAGATGAACAAGGAGCAACAAAGAACAAAGAGCAGAGCAACGTTTTGTTGGTAAGCATCCATTTGGCACATTGCCGTTCCGGACCTCAATCCCCCACGCAAGAGCCCGTCGTTGCTTTTTGTTGTCACATCACAGCGCAGCACCCGATGCCTGGGTTTTGCGTCGTGGCGCCTCGCCCTGACTGCAGTCCTGCCTCAGCATACAATCGGCCACCACCCCGTGCCAACACGGGAGCGGCTGATCCTCGGCGCCCGTCCAACCCGGTCGGAACAGGTCAGTCATTCGCCGGTGATCCTGCAGTCCAGGCAGTAGGCAATACTGGCCCTAAAGCTGGGTGACTATGTGATCTCATCATTTTGCGCCCAAACGAGAAGACGGTCTCCATCTCTGCTTGCGTCCCGTGCGCGCGTAGCATGCAAAGACCACCATCCGCCGACGGCAGCTCACCGCGGACACGCGGTCCGACACGCAATGTGGCCTCTGCCCACTCTCCCGGCCTCCCTCCACTCTCTCGCCGGTGGTCAGTGTGACCCCTGCCCGCTCTCTCGGCCTTCCTCCGCTCTCTCGCCGGTGGTCAGTGTGACCCCTGCCCGCTCTCCCGGCCTCCCTCCGCTCTCCCGCGGGTGGTCAGTGTGACCCCTGCCCGATCTCCCAGACTCCCTCCGCCCTGCCGCCGGTGGTCAGCGTGACCCCTGCCCGCTCTCCCAGACTCCCTCCGCCCTGCCGCCGGTGGTCAGTGTGACCACTGCCCACTCTCCCAGCCTCCCTCCACTCTCCCGCCGGTGGTCAGTGTGACCCCCGCCCGCTCTCCCAGACTCCCTCCGCCCTGCCGCCTGTGGTCAGTGTGACCACTGCCCGCTCTCCCAGACTCCCTCCGCCCTGCCGCCTGTGGTCAGTGTGACCACTGCCCGCTCTCCCAGACTCCCTCCGCCCTGCCGCCGGTGGTCAGTGTGACCCCTGCCCGCTCTCCCAGCCTCCCTTCGCTCTCCCGCCGGTGGTCAGTGTGACCACTGCCCACCGTCCCGGCCTCCCTCCGCTCTGCCCGCCGTTTCAGTCTTCCTCCGCTCTCCCGTCAGCGGGTCGTCTTTCTTACTCATCGCCGACCAGCACCAATCCGTCTTCGTTGTCAGCAGCACGGCGTGATGTTCGACACCCTCGAAAAACACGAGCGCGACCAAGTCGGGAGAGGGCCAACACGCCAGTGCCTGGCACGGGCCGACGGCGGCGGCCAGGGCCGGGGGGGGGGGGGGGGGCGCCGGATATCCCGTCTCCAGTGATGATCACGCCATTCGGCCATCAGCCCGGCGTTGGAATCAGTGGCGTGCCAACGGCGACGGCCACACTAACGGGCCTCAGCAGACTCAGGTCACGCACACTGGTGAGGCCCTGGCTGCTGACGTCAGCTGTTCTGCTAACGGCCTCAGCAGGCTCAGGTCACGCACACTGGTGGGGCCCTGGCTGCTGACGTCAGCTGTTCTGCTGACGGCCTCAGCAGACTCAGGTCACGCACACTGGTGAGGCCCTGGCTGCTGACGTCAGCTGTTCTGCTGACGGCCTCAGCAGACTCAGGTCACGCACACTGGTGAGGCCCTGGCTGCTGACGTCAGCTGTTCTGCTGACGGCCTCAGCAGACTCAGGTCACGCACACTGGTGGGGCCCTGGCTGCTGACGTCAGCTGTTCTGCTAACGGCCTCGGCAGACTCAGGTCACGCACACTGGTGGGGCCCTGGCTGCTGACGTCAGCTGTTCTGCTGACGGCCTCAGCAGACTCAGGTCACGCACACTGGTGAAGCCCTGGCTGCTGACGTCAGCTGTTCTGCTGACGGCCTCAGCAGACTCAGGTCACGCACACTGGTGGGGCCCTGGCTGCTGACGTCAGCTGTTCTGACGGCCGCTCATTGGTAAGTCGTTCGTGACATTGTTGACGGCGGAAGGTTATCGGATTCGACACGAATAATTGTGACAGCAGCCACGGTTACTCTATCTATGTGACAGCCACCAATTGCGCGTTCCCGCCCAAATCGCCGAGCTAGCTCAGCACGGTATTCAGCAGCTCCCATATGTCATTTGACTTACTGCAACTGTGCAATAGTCGGCCAAGTTATGCGAACACGTGAGTGTGCAGTGGATTACCAGAAAACTAAAGGCGAAACGTTGGCAAGTGCGAGGATCGAGCCAACGACATTCGATATATTAGCAAAACACTCTAACACACTGAGATAACCAGCCCAGGCGCCACGCCGCATTAAAAGGAATGTTCCACATTTGGAGATATTGAAGCAAACATCAAATATGATTAAATAAGCTTACGTATAACCATTGGCATATTTTAAAGTGGAACAGACCGCTCCAGACATAATAAGTTCTTTGTTCCGGAAAGATACTTCTCAACACGTCTTCGTTTGATTACGTCGTTACACCTTGCACAATATTAAGTGAAAGACAATTGACGACCGGCTCGTCTGGAAATCGTGCTCACGAACGCCAGATATCAACGACTCGACGATGATGTCTTTCTTGGCCTTGATCGACGCATGGCTGATGGAATCGCAGGATTTGAGTGACGTTGATATCACGCCATGGATGTCTGGGTGACTGAAAAAGTCTCCCAAGTCCGAAAATCTTCACGGGCGTGTAGTTCTGAAACTAGAGGGGTCTTAAGAAAGTACGTACGTAAGTCTGGATGGGCCTTACGAAGGGCACGGCTGTAAACAGCAACGAACAATCTTCCAAGATGGCTATTGCACTTAAAAACCCTAATGTGGACCATTCCTTCCAAAACCGATTGCTACGATGTGCTGAACAGCCAAGCCACCAGCGCAATATGTTCACCACCTTACTCAAAACTTTTTAAAAGATGAGTTACGGCCCTTCTAGGCACATCCCGCAATGGGCACAAGGGGACTGACACGTAACTTTTGCACAGATCCGCTGCGTATTGACCAGAATTTCGGGGCGAAGGAGACCACGCATTTTCCAAAGCACCGACAGTGGATATGTGACCCGCAAGGTTGAGAAAAGGGCCTCTTGGAGGTGCAACCAAGGCAGTATCCAGGCGTTTGAGGGGGGAGGACTTAACGCCCCGATGATTTTATTTTTTTCCTCACGGATGATCGCTGACAGCTAGTTAAAAATCAGCGTGATGCGTACCCATTGAGCTCCCCAGCCCCCCCCCCCCCCTTCCCCCTTTACAGAAGTCCTGGCTGTGCCCCTGGGTCTTTAATGCTGATACTGTTATGCGCTTGGTTATTACCTACAAAACCCTCAAAGCTAGAAAGTTGCAACGAGTTTGCATGCACTTTGCCGTCACTTTACACTGGGTTGCTGTTACATGCACTTTGGGTTGGGGTGCGCTGCAGGGAAACCCTGCAAGCCCTAGGGGCCTTGGTCACTTTGGCGTGATCCCATGTTTTCTTCATCACGAGCTTCCATGTGGGCCCTAAACTGAAATAATTCTGATCCTTCCGATGCAGTTGCCCCATCCGTTCCTGGAACGACTGAGGCAAGAGCAGCTGTCATCACAGCTGGAAAACAAGTACATAACGAATTTCCTCAATCACCGCCCTCACCTATTCTTACTCCCTATGTCCCCACCCGACCGGGCCGCACCTCCTCAGCTCCAACGGCCTGGACTCACCCCGGGCTTGACCCTCAAAGCGACGACCCAACACGGGCCCCCTCCCCAGAGGCACTCGGTCACATCTCCCGCTACGACAGCACCATGCCGTTGGAGAGAGCCCCATCCGGCGGCAATGACGCTGCAGCGGCGCGCCGCGTCACCCACCGCGCGGCCGACAAACTCCGCCGCGCCGGGCGGCCAAGGCCAGTGCGGCCAGTTTCGGTTCCAGCGGCCGGCTCCGGTGGAGCGGCCGCCGGTGACTCGCGCGGTCTGGTGCAGCAGACCTGCTGTGTGATGGCAATAGAGCGGGGCACGGCAGTGCCGCACCCTACCGGCCGGCCCGCATGAGTCAGCGCTGCTGCGCCCGCGCGCTGGGCTCTCAAAACGGCGCACTTCGAAAAGCGATTCAGCAAGTATTCCTTCAGGTTTACACCGGCCTCTGGCGACTTGCATGCAGCCTTGCACTGCTGATATAGACAGTCAACGAAGCAACACGGCATAGCATAGAGGCAGAAGCCGACTCTGACGGACTCAACAAACCACCAGGGTTTTTGCAGGGGTCAACCATTACCCCACGTATAATTCGTGGCAACTTAACTACGGCCGTGCGCATGTCGTTCATGTTGATCACTGCGGCGGTGTTCTCCCCTTCATTCGGTCCTGTGATTGGTCAGCCATAGTTCTACCCTACGATTGGGCAGACCTACCATCTCCGCAACAAGTCCTGTGATTGGTCAGACCGCCACTCAGAGCACAGGACTGGCAATCTGAGCCGGTCACGGTTGCACCAGACACGCTATGAACACAACGGCACGGGAGGGGGGCAGCTTCCCCGGGCCTACCCCGCTCCGTTGGGCGTCGCGCGCTGGAGCCGCCAGCCGCACCAAAGCCGGCGTCACCGCGCACCCGCGCACCGCCGCCGCCCACCTTGTTGTTCATGATGGCCCGCAGACACATGATGCAGACGTGGATGTCGTCCTTGGTGTCGCCCATGTTCAGCTTGCTCATGTGTCGCGAGGCCCGCTTCAGCTTTAGCGTGTCCAGCTGGCCAATGTAGCTCTGCCGCGCCCAGGTGACACGCTCAAACCGCGGCAGCGCCTCCGCCTCCGCCTCCGTCTCCTCCTCCTCCAGCTGCTGCGTCACGCGCTGCTCGTGCCTGCCGACCACAGGGGGAAAGACGGTGGGACGCTGCTCAGGCTCGCCGGACACAGGGGTGCAGACGGTGGGGCGCTGCTCGTGCCTGCCGCCCACAGGAGGAGAGACGGTGGGGCGCTGCTCAGGCTCGCCGGACACAGGGTTAGAAACGGTGGGGCGCTGCTCGTGCCTGCCGCCCACAGGAGGAGAGACGGTGGGACGCTGCTCAGGCTCGCCGGACACAGGGTTAGAGACGGTGGGGTGCTGCTCGTGCCTGCCGCCCACAGGAGGAGAGACGGTGGGACGCTGCTCAGGCTCGCCGGACACAGGGGTGCAGACGGTGGGGCGCTGCTCGTGCCTGCCGCCCACAGGAGGAGAGACGGTGGGGCGCTGCTCGTGCCTGCCGACCACAGGGGGACAGACGGTGGGGCGCTGCTCAGGCTTGCCGGACACAGGGTTAGAGACGGTGGGGCGCTGCTCGTGCCTGCCGACCACAGGGGAGAGACGGTGGGGCGCTGCTCAGGCTCGCCGGACACAGGGGTGCAGACGGTGGGGCGCTGCTCGTGCCTGCCGACCACAGGGGGACAGACGGTGGGGCGCTGCTCAGGCTTGCCGGACACAGGGGTAGAGATGGTGGGGCGCTGCTCGTGCCTGCCGACCACAGGGGGACAGACGGTGGGGCGCTGCTCAGGCTTGCCGGACACAGGGGGACAGACGGCGGGGCGCTGCTCAGGCTTGCCGGACACAGGGTAGGGGTGGTGGTGCGCTACTCATGCATTCTGGGCACAGAGTCGAAACAATGGGGCGTTGGTTGTGTCTGCCGGGACGGCAGTGGCACGGGGCCGCCAGCTCTTGGCGGGAATAGGCAGCAGGGGCAACGGGGGCGGACGGGCGGCCGGGTCTCCGGCGGCCAGTGGCAGCAGGGTCGGACTACTCCCGCCACCAGAATTTCAGACGATAGAATGTAACGTTTCACGGGTCACGAGCCACGTGCCCCATTCCCACTTCCACTCCAGGCAGCCCATCGCCAATCCCGCGGGCGCGCCGGGGAATGGCCGTCGCGTCTGCACCTCGAACAATGACACCATTCCCATAAGCGGGCGGGGAGGTCAGATCGCTCCCTTCAGTCTGCATGGACGGTGGCGCTGACGTCATATCCGCCCCGCCGCACCCCCTCCCCATCCCTTCTCCCCCCCCCCACAACCATGACCACCAACCCACAGTCCACAGTACGACGAGGTTAGGCGCCGCGCCACTCCCCTCTCCCACACTCCGCGACGAGCGCGCAGGGCGGCAGGACAAGCCTTCCCTGACAGCCCGGGTCCCAGCGGGCCGCGGCGCGCCGCTCACGGTCAGGGAACTCACCGCATCAACATCAGTCGGAACGAGAGGTAGTCGACCAGCACCTCCAGGCCCGCGTTGTGCTTGTCCAGGAACTCCTGCACCCATCTAGTGAGCAAGGACAGCCGTTAGCGCTGGGGCGGACGGGCACGCTGTGTTGGTCGGGAGGTTTAACCAATGTAATCGCATTTGTGATTGCTTCTTACAACACAGGCCAATTTCGATCCACCGGATGGATCCTGCTCACTAACGTGCATCTGACATCAACAAGCACGCCAGAAGACCTTGGCAGTGGCCAAACCATGACACGTCGTATTTGCAGTGGCCCCATCCCAACCCCGGGCGGTCAAGGTTCTCTTCAGCCCAGCAGCGCTCCGTCCGGGCCACCTTATGGCTTCCACGTGGCAATAAGCAACGTAGCGTATGTGGCCGAGACCGTGGCACACGCCAGTAACATAAAACACGCGTGCCATAGGGCATGTTCCGGCGACTCGCTCCTAGCATGACCACAGCTGTGCGGACATGGATCTCAGGACAACCGTGACCTGTGGCGCGGGTCGCCACCAAGTCGCCACTGCCTAAACCTGCTCCGGACCGGACCGACAAGGGACCGCGACGCCACTCGCCAGTCCCGTTGCGGCCGCCGCCGGCCGACATGGGCGCCGATGCCCCGCGTCAGCGGCCCAGCCGCCGCCGGGCGCCGCCAGCTGGTCCCGACAGTCGGCTCGGCCCGACAGCCGGCGACCTCCTGCCGGCCACGAGCGCGTGCCGACCGGCCCGCCCCCGCGCACCTGGCGCACGAGGCGGCGGACGCGTGCGGTGCGTGCGCGCCTGCCGCGCACGTAGAGGCCGATGAGCGGCAGCGGGCGGCAGCCGCGGACAGCGGCGGTCCCCCGCTGAGGGGTGACGGGCGCCGTCGCCCACGGGTACGGCAGGACGCACTTCAGACCAGCGGCTCACAGGTGGGCGGGGGGCGGCGCCGGCGGCGGGAAGCCTCCGCCAGTCGCCGACTGAGAACCAGGCTACAACGAGCGACTATGAGAGCGGGAGGGTATTTCTTCACGTCAAACATCGTTAAGCCCCGCGCTGTTTGTCCCTGGTGACACACCTGTTCGGGCTACGCGAGAGTGGACATTGCGCAGATAAGTCGGTACGAAACTCTGGTATTTCCGACCACGGCTCAGCGAATGAGTCACTCCCAATTCGCCAGAGACCAATCCAAGCTTGCACTGAGCAGTTCAAGAAGAAATCAGAAGAAAAAGACATCAGTCGTCAGTCACGAATAAATTCCTTTCACAGATAAGAGACATGCACCCTCGTTACCAATGAAGGTGTCTGACCAATGCAATCACGCATTAGCTAAACTACACGCCTTCGCCCCTGGACGGCAACCGCCCGCACACGTTCTTGTACTGCAACTGTAGCGAACAGCTATGCTGCGCGGGGATGAGATGGCTCCTATGAGCCGGGCCGGTCGGCACGAAGTGTTACTGACAGTCTCCCGGTGTGACTATTTGGGGCGTGCTGACGGCGTGGGCCGCCAGAGCGGGGTACGGAGCGCGGAGCAAGGACGGGGGCGTGGGAACGTCCCTCTCTACCCCCTTCGTCGATGAGGGGTACGTCCGCAGCCCCTCGTCCCTTCCCCGCAGCCGTCGTGGGCGGATCGTGCAGGTGATACATGAGGTCAACCTGCATGAGCCCGGACCGGACGTCAACGGAGCGGGAACCAGGGACGATCCGTATCCCAACGGAACGCGGGGCCGCCCGGTCAGACAGCCGGCGAGCGCGCTTATAGTCAGCCCTGACGAGAGCGCTCATGGCCTGTCCTAACGGGAGTATTCACGGCCTGTCCTGATGAGGGCACTCATGGCCTCGTCAGTCCTGACAGGAGAGTTCATGGTCAGCACTGACAAGAGCGTTCATGGCTTGTCCTGACAAATTATGCTGCATGCGGAGGAGAGACGACTCGGTGGAACATGACAAGACGGGTGAAGAGCTGAAAGCGGCAGTATGCTCGGACACGGCACAATCCTAAGGGAAGGAAACCTCACACCAAGAAATACATTCGATTCATCAGACATCACGGGTCACCCAAACTGAGGATTGAGAAGCCGCAACAAATCCCACTTCCAGCCCACGACGACAGAAACGAGGCCATTGCAGCCCCATTCACACGGGAGATCGGGGCCGTCTACAGCGGTGGCGATTGCCGACGCAGCCCCAGACGGACACGGCGCCGGGGCCCTTCACCTCCCCTCCGGCCTGACGCCGTACTGATCCCTGTCGGTGGTCCCGCCGCCAGGGCGCGCATGAAAATGAGAGCCCGCAGTGTCACGCGACGCGCACGACCACACCAACTGCGCATGCGTTGGCGGCATCGTGAATGGTATGCCGCGACCACTAAGTGTGGCGGATGGAGCAGCTTACGTAACAATGGGACTTGTGAGGAGCATTGAACCGTCCCAGCGATCCACCTGGCATCAATGCACAGGCGCTCACCGCTGCGGTTATTCGGGCTTAGGATCGTTGACAGCAGCGACCATTTTGCACCCGAATTATGGTTGTGCGTAACTATGTCGTGTTGTGTAATAAAGTCGCTGTTGTAGGTTTCCAAGCCGTGACCCCCCCCCAAAAAAAAACACGTTATGCGAAAGGAACGATCGCAACACGCCGGAGTACAAAGCACCTCTAAAGCAGTGCCAAACCATGAGTGATTTATGCACTGTTCACTTAAACTCGGTACACCAGGGTACTTCCAACGAGGGTCGTACGGTGTCAGAAGATGCTGTAAAGGTGAATGCATGATCATGATGTCAAATAAATTGAGAAATACAAGAACTGTTCCCACGTCACTTATGGAGTCCAGGTCTGAGTGAGCCAGGGACAATCTAGGCTGCATGTGGCGACCAAAGTGACGATAGCGCCCGGCGGCAAAGTGTGGGCACGGCACGTGAACATGAGCGACGAACGGCGTGTGATCACACCGAGGACATGCCGGTGCTTGCCCGGCTCAGAAGAGAGAGCCATATGTGCAATACGCGTGACCTATGCGGATGCGGCAGAGGCTAACCTTCCCTCTTCTGTCACCATGTGAGGACTGTCATTCGACTAGGGTTGACCCGATAGCCCCAAGCTTGCTTCGCGCATTTCCATGGTCGTCAGGGGTCTTTCGATCCCATAACTTTTGCCAAGTTGTCCTTATGCAAGCTGACGGCACCTGCTTGAAGTCAGAGAACGGCGCTCGGGGAGAGCGAGAGTGAGTTCCGACTGTCTATCATCACGCTATCAACGTGCGCGTATCGGAGCCGAACAGGGCAGATAGAGTATTCGAGTCTGCAGCCTGCAGCAGCGTTTCACCACGCCCCGTGCTCCGCAGCCGGTCAGGTCCGGTCAGGTCTCATCAGCTCGGTCAAGGCTGCCGCAGGCAGACCGTGCGCCCCTTGCGCCTGGTCAGCCGCAGCGTCCGCCGCTTCGGCGGCCGACGTCACAGCCAGACTAGCGCCGGGGGTGTAGCCGCCGACGGGCCAGCGCGTCCAGGTGAGCTGACTTGGCCGGTGCCGTCCGACCGCAGACCGCGTATGCGTGTCGTACACCCATCAGCAGCGGCGGCGGGCACAGCCGAGCGCTACCCGGCTCGCTGCGGCGTGACTCAGACTTGGGTGCGCCGGTCGCGGGAAGCCCAGCGCCGCCAGTCGCCCGCCCCAGATGGCGCGGTGGCGTAGTGCATGGGACGCCGCGCTCCCGGGCCGGTCGAGTCCTTCCGCGCATCAAATCAATGGTCAGGGGTAGGGCTGCTGACCCACTGCATGAATGCCCACCGCGTATTTAACGCCTAGGATCATGAGCTGATCACATGATACATTTCGAAGGCGGACAGATCGTACGCCGGCTCCGTCTCATCTCACCAATCACCGTGAGATGGTGTGACGTGCCTGTGTCAGCAGGTGCCGCCCAGCCCGGTCCGGTCCGGCCCCGGGGTCCGCCCACGCCGCCGTGACCCGACATTGCGTCACCGGACACCGGTGCCGCCGCCCGGCCCTCCGCTGCGCCCGGCACGACGGAGCCCAATCTCGGCATGGTGACGTCATGGCGGCGCTCGGACGCGGCGCTTTGTCCGCTTATCGAGCCACGACATCGAGGGCCGACCTCCCCGTCTGACGCGCAGCACATAGTCGCCTCATTGCACAGCGTTTACGGTCTAACGGTCAGACACACGCAGCCACCGATGTCTCCGTGTCGCGGCAGCTTCTTCGCCGTCCCCCGTCACGTGCCACGCGCCCCCGCGTCCGAAGCCCTGTCCGCGCGGCGAGGGCAAACGCGCAGGGCATGCAGCGCCCAGAGCCGCGACACTGGCGCCGCCCAAGTGGCCCGACGCCTTCCACTGGACGTGAGCATTGCAAGCGGGTTTTCATTACGAAAGTACCGTTCGCGATGATGATGAGGGGTCACTAACCTCTTGCCTCAAAACGTCGGAATGCTACGCGCAGCCCGACTACATATCTCTCATATTTCATATTTCATATCTAATATCTGCATACCACTGCATATCATCTCTCACCAGCGTCCCTCACCACCTCTCTCACCAGCCTCTCTCCGCCCCGAAAAACCAGGCCACTAAAATACGGCGCCGTGCCAAACCGTCCGCCTGGCTCACTACTGCCAGTTTAACAGCGGCGGCGCCTCGGCGGGCGGCGACAGACGCTGCGACGCCGCAGGCGGAACCATAACAATGACCCGGCGGCTGGGTGGCGGTGCGGAGTGGCGGTGGCTGTGGAGGCTGTGGAGGCCGTAGTGGCTGTGTGTGGCTGTGGACATGGAGGCTGTGGTGGCTGTAGAGATGGAGGCTGTGGTGACTATGGACGAGAGCGGCGTCGTGGGGGCCGACGACGCAGAGGCACTCGACGTGTTCGTACGTTCCACTCGACACCTGAAGCTGGGCCGCATTACACGGGGCACAACGCTCAAAACTGGACAGCTTTACACAGCACGCACACTGCCAACTCAAGGAGACAGAAGTCGCCGCGCTCAAGCGCGAACGCCGGTCGGTCAACCATCGCAAAAAGAACAAGCGCCATCGCCGCGGCCGCCAGTAGCGGGAGCTGCGCCTCAGGGCGCCGTCGGGCAGCAGTCAGCCGTCGCCGCGGCCGCCAGTAGCGGGAGCTGCACCTCAAGGCGCCGTCGGGCCGCAGTCGGCCGAGCGCCGTACTCACTCGATGTGGTTGGTGCGCAGCGAAATTTCGAGGTCGCGCAGTACCTGGGTGGACGTCGAGTCGCCCATCAGCCGTCGCTTCTGGAATAGGGGACCGGGACGGGGTCAGCTGGAGATGGGGCGTGCGCAATAGCGACGGCACGTGAAGACAGGGACGGTGCCGGTCCTGGCTCCGAAACCGATCCGGGGTTGGATCGCACCGCCTGGTTCCTGGATGGTTCCTGGATGGTTTCTAGATAAAGCTCTCGTTCGGCGAGGGAAGAGGCCTGAGCGGCGCCCAGCCATGGGATCGCACCGCATGGCCAGGGTTTCTGGGAAGAGCCCTCGCCGGGGGCAGCAGAGTAGTCTGAACAAAGCGCTCCGCTGCCGGGTCAGCCCGGCTCCAGTGCAGGGATGTCGGGGACCGGGGTGGACCCTCCCAGTCGGCAGTTTGTTGCGCACCGGCCTCTTTCATGGTGATGCACGGATGGGTTGGGGGGAGGGCGACGGAGGAGGCGGGCAGACAGCGACCGCGAGTGACGCATTCCAAGACGTTGGCTGCAGCGTCTCACGGGGACCGCTTGCCCTTGCCCCTACAAAGAAGACCTGCCGGCCTTTTGCCCCTCTCCCACGGGTAACCGAGCAGGTCAGGGGCGCCCAGAACATGGGAGAAGATCAGGAGGGGAGAGCAATGTCCCGCTCTGTAAGGCAGGCACATCAAGGAATGCGTAGTGGTTACCCATAGGCGATAAGACGGCCCTAGTGCTGAGATCGCAGGGGCGAGGAACATCATTTCAGTTCAAGATGCATTGAACTTGGGCAAACCAAAAACATGGATGTCTCACAACACATAACGCAAATATTTCCTTCTGAATGTACCAGTGACTGATCAATTCATAGGACCCGTTACACAGAAGTCATATAGATTATAACGGTTCTTGAGAATGCTACAAATAACCTCATCAACCCTTTCCCCCCAAAATCCAAAATTACCCACCTACAAAACCTGCCGAATGTCAAGTGGTTAAAGCGCCCTACACTTCAAATCATGCTCATCACCATCATCCTTAGAAGCCATTAAACCTCTTCGTACGGCCTACTATACAGAAGTACAGAAGAAACGACATGTAAATAAATGTGGTCTCATTAACTACATGTCGTCCATGAGAAGCTAGCCGGGAGTGTCCCTTTTATGCAGCGACACAAAGTGACTTACCTCAACGCTCACTTCATGCCCGCAAACACACGACAAGCGTCACGGTACTCTCTGCTGGCATATAAGAGATAGCATTAAAGAACACTAACTTCAATTGGCACGATTATGTAACTTCAGGGATGTAAGGATCGATCTGATACGCCCAGTGCGTCGCATGCTATATGATAAGAAGCTGCAAAACCATACAGACAACTCAAAATCCAGTAGCGCCCACGGCTGCTTCTTGTTTTTTTATCATCATTGTCGCTCAGCACTCGTTTAAAGTCAATTTCGCCTTTCCATGTCGGGTGTGGTCAAACTTTTCGGTTTGGAGCTGGCAAGCGACTGCGTGTCATGAGTATTCATTTGCCGCGGACACAAAGCTGGTATTTGGCCGTTCGAGCCTTGCCACCGCATACGTTGTTTCCACACCTGAGGCCAGCTCTTCAAAGGAAGGTTGCTACCTGCCTCTGACGTCACAGGTGGCTTTAAGACAATAGCTCCAACACGCTGAACTCACAGCCGTTCGTGCGTGACATAGCTACCCGTGACGTCACAGGAATGACCCAGCGTAAGAAGGCACGTGGTGGCCCGCATGCGCGGAGGCGGGTGGGTCGCAGCGGCGACCAGTCGGCGCCGGAAGTCGGCTACTATCTCCCCACCCACTGTTCTTGGCTGTCGTGTCCCGCCTAATCGTTCATATTCCGAGGAGCGCCGGCAGCGGTCCTCGGGCCGGCACGCTATCGGGCGCCACGGCGACGACCGGCTGAGCGGCGGCCGACGGCGCTGACTCACGCGGGCAGGCGGGCAGGCGGCCGGCCGGCCCACCTGAGCGACAGCACATGTGCCGCGGCCACACGGCAGGCGACGAGCTGCCGCCGCCGTGGCAGCGGCGCCGCGACAGCAAGCTTACCGAACACGCTCGTCCAGCGGGAGTGCTCGTAAACGATGGCTGCTATGGTGAGGCAGGAAATCGAAAACGAGTCGTGGTAACTGGATACGTCTGGTGGTGGGTCGATTTCTGATATGGCAGTACTCCATACCGTCGCCAACACTGTTTTGCGACATGTCCGACGTGAATAGTGAGGAATTCGTGGCATTCATTATCCGCGTGCCCTGATGATATCAACATCAGCTCAGGCGGAGGCGGCGTAACAAGCTAGAACGTCACGATTGCGGACCACTCATGTGATAGCAGCTATGCCAACTTTCAACGAAACAAGCATACTTCCAGCATTCCGCCATGGAATGTGACCCGCTCCTGGAGGTGCCCCATAACAGACCTTCCCCACGGTTTCTACCTGTGGGTCAACCTTGCTGCCTTATGAGTGGCTAACGATCTGTTTGTGGATGGAAGAATCCAGGATCCATCGGGCGTCAGTGCGAAAATGGCTGGAGGCAGAGACGCAGCTTTTCAGCACGCCAACACGCCAATTTCTAACCCACAGGAACCCGCGGGCTTTCGGCTGGGTTATGGGCCAGACTTGACGCGTTTTGCGGATAAAAAATTTAGTAGGCAAAACAATAAATTTTTGCTATGCCTTACGGTTCAAAATCGTTCCAAAACCAGAGCGTGCCGCCAAACACAAAACAATCATGACAAACATATATTATTTAAACACTTCTTGCAGCAAGAGCACCACTGACAGAAAATCCATGGCATACATGACACATCACTAAACCAGGCCGCACAAAGTGAACAGCTTTAAGCTTAACATCTACTGAAAAATTCAAGAACAACAACCTAGACTTGCAGAACTATAGCCTGATTTCATTGAGCAGCAGTCAGGTGGGCCCTTAATATAAACTACAGCCTGATTTCACCAAGCAGCAGTCAGGTGGACCCTTGCTATAAATATAGCTACAGTGGTGCATTTAACCTTTCCTGGTTTACACAAAAACCATACTTCACGAATCACAATCAATATCCGAAAATAATGAAATGTATGCGGAACTGTGAGCCTTTCACTGCCCTAGCTTCACTCGCTTGTCAATACAGCCAGCAGTTACTGGCGTATCGAACGCGCAACAGCTCTCGAAGCTGAAAAAGTGGTGGCATGGAGTCCGCTTTTGTCTGTAGAGAACGCACGTTGCGACCATCACTACAGGGCACTTACACGATACAGTTTCCCCTTACTGCGATTGTTACCATTTTTCAATATATTTTCTATGAAGGTTTTTATTTGTTTGACCGGAAGATGTAGACTGCACGCTTTTCAAACGGTAGAAAGAGTTACTGGAAATTATTCTTACAACTTGTCTTCCTAACAGCTTTTCTGCAGCAGGCAACGATACGCCACGGTGTTTGATGGCATTGCTAAATGTCAATGTTGCTGGACGGGCAAACATTGATGGACACAATGCTTCTGTCATCTTGTTTCACGAGCCTTCCACGCCGCATTACATGGAACCACGCTGCCATGGTTATGAACTAGAACGTGGATAGTGTTCAGAGAAATGTGGATCACTTCATAGCTCCCATGTGGTATTTATGTGGTGTGGTTACATGATAAATACACCAAGTACAGCAAACACAATATAGCAGGCTGGCTCTGGCTCTTTAATACGAAATTTGACCCTGTGACAGTCGTGACGCAGTCGAACGTTGATTGAGCTCATGTGCATTGCAATGAACTGACTCTTCCCATGACTTGAAACAGACAATTTTGTTTACCCTGTCAGTGCAAAAATGATGTATGCAAGTTACGAAGAAGTGGCCTATGGTCTACTAAGATGAGATAAAAGGGTGAAATCTTTGGAGCGCTTCGGTGAAAGATACATTTCTTCTCTGCCCTCTTTCTTCTCATTTGCAGCTGAAAACCGCTATCACATTGTCGAAGGTCTAGTTTGGTGTATACCAAATCCCACTGCGCACGTTCTTCTATTACTGATCTCTGAGCGAGCAACATCACTGGTGTCAGCAACAAAAAGTGGTGTGTTAGATGACACTTATGCCCCATTTTATGCACATCTTTTGAACACACGTAACATCAGGGTGAAATGGTAAAATGCATATTGCCATAAATTAGTACTTGCGGGTTAATGGGGGATCAGCATTGTAGCATAGCAGGCTTTTGCGGGCTGGGTCACGAACTAGGCGGAGCGGGCTGGGCTGCAGCCTCATATTTGGGAGAAAGTTGCGTCTCTAGTTGGAACCATCGGCTTGTGTATTACATACTTCCAAGCACTTTGAGAACCGCAAAAGGTCAAGCGCCTTTTCCGTCACTTGGCATTGTCAGCTTCAGTGGAATCAATCCATTGCATTGATGACTTAACAGTCGATGTGGCACGTCAATGTTGGCAAATGAATCAAGGAACCGCAAGCGGATTGGATGCTTCCGTCACAAATCTTGCGAGCTCCGTGCAGCTCAGCATCGTGGACGGCTACAGCCACACTCACCATGCCGGCGATATGCAAAGAAACTGGCCCAATACCAGCTAGTTCACCTGGCCATCTGGTCGGAGCAAGATACACGATCTTATCCCGATAACTTGCAAACCCCCGCATGCCACTTGGAAGCACGCATGCCAACACGGTGCTTTTCCGCGGCGACAACATTTACGTGTTCCTTGTTCAAGCTCTTACCCCACAATCGTGATTTACGTCAGCTCACCGCCTTCCACTTGACATTAACAACTCCTCGCATGCCACTGCACCGTGGTCTACTTCACATGGAGCATGAAGCCTTCTGGGAGCCGGACCACCAGGGCCGTCTGCTGGGGCCTCCAGCACCTCGAGCACGGCGAGCGCTGCGACCCGAGGCCGCGCGCAGCCGACCTCAAACCCGCGACCCTGACGTCCCGAACTCGGACGCCAGCGGCGGCCGCACGCCACTGCGGCACAGCCGGCACCACCGCCGCCGCCGCCGGCGAGGCCGCGTATCCGAGCCGGCAAGGCGGCGGCGGCGGCGGCGGCGGCGGCGGCCGGGGGTAACCACTCGGGCCAGCCGAGCCGGCCGCCTGCAGAGCGAGTTACACGGCTCGGTGGCGCCCGGCCGGTACCGACCTCGCCATCCACAGCCAACGTCGACTGTTGCTGTCAGAGCTGCCCAAACCGTTCTGCAGTTGACACGGGGTGAAATGGTTTTCTTTCGTGATTTATCTGGCTGCAAGCAGGTCCCTTCGAAGCTCAGATTCGGGCAGCAGGCTTCTCTACTCCGCTCCGGGCGTGCAGAACGCGCTACACTGCATTGCATGACTAAAATAATTCTTCCCGACCAGATTACCCCAGACACAACGGTGGACCGCAGCACACGATGCCGACAGGGAGGCTCGCACTGTGCACCCAAGCAGCACCTCTATGCCCTGCAAACTACACGCAATGCGATCCGCGGGCGACCGGCCGGCGCCACCATGACCCAGCCCTGCGTGCGTCAGCGTGTCTTCAGGGCAACGCACCACCCCGAGCCGTGACCCCTCCCCTCACTCTAGGACATGAATTATCACCACACCCAGCTTACATGCTAACGCACCGTCCCGGGGCATGATCTAATGCCACACGCACTTTGCAGATAAAGCCGTCCGCAGCACTTACCCTGTGACTCCTGGAGGCCTTCGGGTCCAGGTACGTGCGCAGCTTGTTCAGGTAATACGCCGGTGACTGTTTGGCTGATACCCGTTCCTGAAATGCGGCAAAAAGTAAAGATCAGCAAGCACAGCTGAATGCGGACGGCAACAAGTAAAGATAAGCAGCACAGCTGAATGCGGACGGCAAAAGAATGATCAGATACTCGATCGTTCCAGAGAAGGGAACATTCACCACGCACATGTCAGATGATGTAGTTTTACCCAGGTACCACAGATATTGCGCCGACAATGAAAAACGGCGAGAACTGGAGCGCTAAGGGCACGGGCCATCGCCCGTCGGGCTGGCTGCGCGCCGCACAGACTGCCACTGGCGAGCGGTCCGGAGGCGGCGGACGGCGACACCGCCGACGGTCTGGTCGGTTGTGCGGGGGGGGGGGGGCGACCGCCGGCGGCCACACCAGCCAGCGGACGGGAACGACCAGGGCTGAGGTGCGCCGCGTCAACTGGGACGCCGCAGTCGCGTCAGTGGCATGAGCGGATGAGGCGCCCCGGGCCGGCGCACTGCTCTGTAAACAGGGGCGCCCTGGGCGAGGCGGCCACAACGGCCTGGGCAAGACCGCCACAGCAACCTGGATGAGACTGACACAGCGGCCTGGGCGACACCACCAAAGCAGTCTGGACGAGACCGACACAGCAGCCCCTGGACAAGACCGATACAGCAGCCTGGAAAAGACCGATACAGCAACCTGGACAAGACCGATACAACAGCCTGGAAAAGACCGATACAGCAGCCTGGACAACACCGATACAACAGCCTGGAAAAGACCGATACAGCAGCCTGGACAAGACCGATACAACAGCCTGGAAAAGACAGATACAGCAGCCTGGACGAGAACGACACATATTTGAGCACATGGGTCAGTAGCGCCCCCATCCTTTCACCACTGGCGCGTGCAGGCTACGGTCGACACGGCTAGCGCGTGACGGACCATGAAGAGCTGTCCGACCTCAGTTAGTGTGGGGACAGCGGCTGACCCCCTTAAGAGGGTACGAACGTCGACAGGTTGTCCCTCGAGGCTACCTGAGAGCCGAGAGAGCTATTTGAAGCGAGACACGCTGTGCTAGAGATTCGTCAGGAGCGTTCGTGAGAGGAAGATCGCAAAGCCGAGTCGGCGCAACAGGATCGCAAGGATTGTCATGTAAAGCAGGCTATGAAATGGGGTCGTGTGAGTAAAATTATGCGACGCAACAGGGCGCAAGATTGCTGGCAGACGCGCCACATCCACCAACCACCCCATTCCTCACCCACCGCGACTACGCGCCGCATGCCTTGGCGCCGACCCAGCCAACGGAGCGCCGAGGGACAGGGGGGAGGGGGCACAACGGTCGCCGCTAGCGCAGACGGGAGAAGGCGGGGACAGTCCGCCGATCAGAGCGGCCCACTGTCGGACCGCCAACACCAGCAGGCGGGAGAAGGCGGGGACAGTCTGCCGATCAGAGCGGCCCACTGTCGGACCGCCAACACCAGCAGACGGAGATGAGATTAATTCCCGCGCTGCAACGACGCATTCGACACATCAGGGCATTCTAGGTCGCTGGGTCTCACGCTGATTGTTGCGGGGGCACCGAAACATTACGACGGTGGCAGACTCGAACCCAGGCCTTGCAGAGTGCGTTTGCTCGCGAACGTCACATTGGCAGAGCCAGAGTCGAGCGAAACGGCCGTGGCTGAGCGCCGCTGCGGAGGTGGCGTCCGGTACCAGTTCCGACGCCGCTTACTCCGCCACCCGCAAAACCGCCACTCAGGACGCAGAGCCCATCGGAGGTCGGTGGCGACACTTCAAGTCTCTCTGGTCTTTTATCAACCATCCCGCGAAAATGGAGAAGGTATATCGGGAGAGTATTTCCAGGCCACCTCGCCATTCATGACGTCATGTCATTCAAATTCTGCCATTCCATAAGCCATGTGGCAATCAAGGGCGATAAAAATATCTGTCGAGGAGCTCATATCCAACATTCGTGGGAGCGATTTTCAGATATAACGACCGTCAATGGGCTCTCAATCAATGTTGTGTAAAGTTTGATGGCGTAATCAAACCCTGACGCATTGAGGAGCACATTTACTTAACAGGGAATTGTGCGGTCTGGACAAGTCTTTTACACTTAAAAAGCATACCAATACTTTAAGTGAGCTTGTTTCAACACATCTGAAGCTTGTTTGAATGCCTCCAAATGTGAAACATTCCCTTAAACTATAAATTGACGAGATATTTTGTATTGCGTGGTGTGCGCGCACTATGTACACACAGGCCTTACATTCCGCATGGAAGAACGGACACGGAGCAAGCCACACAACTATGGACCGCCGTCGCCTGAAGGAAAGCATAAGCCAATGGCGCAGACACTGGCAGACAAGGTGAGAGTAGAAAGAGAGGTGATGATTATATTTAGGGTTTGGCGCGTCGATCACGTGGTCATTCCGTGCCTTCTCCAAAACTGTCTACTACACGCCACGCGGTCAGAACTATGTCAGTTATATACTGTTCCGTACTCCACCTGCACACCGGCCACCAATGATGAGAAATTTAATACGGGCTAACAAAACGAGTATGTCGACATCACAACATGCGTCCGGCCCAAGAGGTGATGAGATGAGAGACGATGCCTGGCATAGTGACGACATGCGGTGAGGACATGCTGAACGGTGAGACGCCCGCCACATCCGTCTCACTGCGGCATGTCCTGGCCCGACAGGTAAAACTAGTTCATAGCAAATTTGTGCCCAAGCCGTAGCCGACGAAGAGGGATTACCTCCTCCAATCATCCATTTCGATGATACAATCCCCACTCGCCAACAAGAGATTTAATGGTATTCAATGCGTGATTTATTTCGTCAAAATCCTTTTGCTTCCTGCCATTATACCTGGCACCTTCTGACTTCAGTGCACCCAACGGCACGCTGAGGGGAAGATGGTGATCTCGACATGCGGCTACTCTCGCAGCAGCATCTGCTCTTTCGTTGCCCACAATCCCGACGTGACTAGGAATCTATACGAAGGTAGCTTCAACGTTTTGGTGGCATGATTTGTCAAGTTCATCCCACACAGATCGCATGACGTACAGGTGGCCACGAGACGCTAAGGCTGAGTCTAATGGTAGAAAGCCACTAGTGAGTCAGTTCAAGTCCGAAAGTGACGTCCCGTACGACAGTAGATACATTGTAACGCCGTTAGGATGGCGGAAATATCAGGGGAAAACACTGATAGGTGCCGTGGTGGGCAGAAGCCTTGTCCCACGTCTCCGCCAATGAAGGCACAGCCAGTGCCAGCGGGATCCTTCGAGCCGTCAGCAAATATATTCATTGAGTTGTGGTAAAGCGAGGCTCGCCCTGCTGTCAGGTTGGCAAAAACTCCTGTACGGGTATGCTTCTATGACACCAGGGGGCCCGACCATCAAACGTGCGTTGGGTAATTTCGTCGAGGTGGATGCCCGCCTCACCAACCCGATCTCGCAAACGCGAGCGCATTGGTTTTGATGAAGTAGACCCTCCATCTCGTTTTGATGAAGTAGACCCTCCATCTCGTTTTGATGAAGTACACCCTCCTTTCAAAAACAACCAAGTCAGTGTGTGTAAAGAAGCACCGGATATGCTGGGTAGTGAGACAGGTGCGACACCTTTTTAGCGTAATTCGGAGTTTTTTTTTCCTAAGATGAAGTGGCGGTTCGTTTGCTTCATCACCAGCTTTTCCGCGCGGATTGTGCGGAAATCTCCGGTGGCAATGCGGACACACACTTGGTGTACACATCAATATCCTTTTTAGAGGATGCCGGAGCACTGTCAAAGACGGCATTTGCATGGTTTAGCACCGAGCGTGTGTGAGTCCTCTATGTAGTCTTAGCAAGGTGCAGCGGTCTGCACATTACGTCATGCGGGTATCACCTCCGAAATGTTCATGCGTTTATGATAGCTGACGTTAAGACGTTTGATATGGGGTTTAAAAGAGAGTCGCCAGCCAGGGATGGCACCACGAAACTTTACTTCGCCACCGACCGAAATGATAAGAGTTGCAAAGGTGACGCACAGGGTTGCTGCACTCTTTTACACGTGTACAAAAGTGTATGCATTCGATTTTGTTCGTTGAAAAGCTCACTCCATTTTTGACACTCCACTTATATGAACTCGAAAGGCTTATCTGAAGTTTCCCCTACGCAAACGATATCGTAGATGTTGAGCACCAAATGGTGAAGTCGTCAACAAAAAAAGACCGGCTTGTATCTGATGGCAGAGCGTAAAGAATGTCATTGATCATAAGGGCCAACGGAGTAACACCCATCATACTGTCGTGTGGAACGCCGTTCTCTTGTTCCAAACGGCCCAAAAAAGCGCTGCTGACTGCAGCGCGGAAGAGCCTTCGCTCCCAAGATTCGGTATGCATGCACCCACGTAGTCACGGACGCCACGCGGCTTGACCTTGAAGAGTATGCTGTAGCACCATGCTATGTCGCATGCTTTTTTCAATGACAAATAAAACTGCTACGGTGCGTCCCTTTTGTCTAAATGATTGACAGCCGCATACCTTATGGAATGGCAAGATTTGGATGACGCTATAATGACGTCATGAATGCCAAGGTGAGCTTGAAAAGTTCCCACAATTGCTCTCACATCTTCGCGGCCTTTAAGCTCAACAGTCAGAGGGTTTTAGGCATTAAAAAGGCCATGGCCATGTACTGCATCACAAGGTCCTTGACACGACTATTTTAGCTCAAAACGCCCATACAACCACGCTCCCTTTAATACTCGAGACGGCTTACTTAGACATAAACGACTGACGTCCTCAGTAACATGCTCCATGACCCTGGCCACAGTTTGCGCACTTTACCGACCCTGCCTTGCATTATGAGTGTTGGTGGTTTATTTCCGCACACCTTCCACACTTCACCCTCTCCAGCACTTGTCGGCGAAGAATCCGCACGTCTGGCATTTTTAGCGTCGGACTGGGTCAGCACGTAGATCCTAACAGAGACCGAGTGGTGCCCAATGTGGATCTTATTAGGCACGGTCGGGGATCGAAACGTCAAAATGACGGGAGTCCGTATCGACGACAGTTCACTTCCCCTTCCCCTGAATGTGCCTCACCACCGTCACGCTACTCACACAAACTCCCCAAAACGTTCTCCTTACAAACAGCACGACGATCGCGACAGGTCACGACGCCCTTGGAACAGTTCTAAGTGGGGTGTGGATGCAACAAAATAGGCGTCCTCACTTCAATGTGTCCCCACACTGTAGGTCAGCTCCCGCGTCCTCACTTCAATGTGTCCACACAATGTAGGTCAGCTCGGGCGTCCTCACTTCAATGTGTCCACACACTGTAGGTCAGCTCCGGTGCCCTCACTTCAATGTGTCCACACACTGTAGGTCAGCTCGGTCGCGTTGAGCATGCCTTTTATGTCGTAATCATAAGTGAAATGCACCTCAATACTTCCGTCCGGGCACGAGAAAACATCACTGACCTTCGCTACTTTTGAAGAGCTTGCTGCCCTTGGAAAGGGCTTATCCGGAGTGGGATCTTATCACCTTCAACGTCCACCTGACCGGGTTGTACCGCCAGAAACTACGCAATGGCTCCCGGTCGACTCGCATCGCTTTCCATAGAGGGAGACGTTCCTCTTGCGTCCTGGTTGTGCCGGTTGGGGCTTGGGGAGAGGTTATCAATGTTTGAGTCCAATGATATTTCTTTCTGTTCGTTCATGTTCGGTGGGCTGGCACGCCACCTTCCATGGAGCCTGACACGGGACGGTCCACGTCCATGCGTGGAGTCGCCAGGGCTACCAGCGCACTACAAGTGGGCCAGTGTGCTAAAAAAGTTGCCGCGGGAGCCGTTAGGTACGAATCTGCAGGCGGCCACGCTTGGGCCTAACCATGCATCCTGGAGACAGGCAGAGGCATGGGCCCCGAGAACATGAATGCAGCCAGAAACTGTATCCGGTAGCTCTCCCCTAAACGCCCGTCACATGGCTCACTTGGCTCCAAGCCAGTGCCGCAGAAACGCGGCGCCTGACAGGCCGATTTCCTCGCGCAGAGTCCGCGCGAGACATACGCAGGCGTACAAATTTAGACCAAAGACATGTGTTGGCAGGATGCGCCGACTGAGCCGCAGAGCAGCTCCCTTAATGTCCAGGATCCCTCTGTCGCTGCCTGCGGAAACAGTAGGGTTACGGAAAGACCCAAATAAAACTGGAAAGCTGGGGCCGCCGGGCTGCTAATCCCTATTCTGACCGAAGTCAGAGTCTTTAGTCTGACCTTGGTCTGGCTGGATGCTGGGGACGTCTGGTCTGGCTGCTCCCCTTTCGCCGGAAGGGGCGTTTGCAAGCCTCCCCAATCGCCCGCAGGATCATAAGAGCACACAACCTTCCCACTTCTGTCCCCTACCACGGAAAGGTGTTGTCTCACAGGGGAGGGGGGGGGGGGGCAAACGTATTAGCCTAGTTCCCCAGATATGCAACCTCCCATAGCACAGCCTTCTGACTGGAAAAAACTGGATCAGGGCCCGACCTTCCCAGTCCTAAAGACAGGTCATGGTCTCCTCTCAGTGTCAGGGTCTATACTGATACCTGGAGTTCGCAGCCACGCACTACATCCGGCGCTTGACATCATCATCAGGCCACAGGCATAGCGTCGGAGCCACCACGGCGACGGTGCAAGGGCAGACCATCCGCCCAGACCTCATTGCAGGACCAACTGCCGTGGCCAGGACCCACTGCCAACTGCCGCGGACCGTTTTAAAGTCCCGTCTTCAGTCTGGGCCCACCATTCTGAGCAGCCTGAAGAGGTTTGCCTTCTCTGTACGCATCGCCTTGTACCTGCATCGAGGTGCGCGGCCGTCACACCCCTGCTTCAATGAACGGGCCATCGCCCTGTGTCCCGTCCCTGTACTGAGGTACACCGTCCATACCACAGTCCCTGCACTAAGGCGCATACGGCACAGCCTCCGCACCCCGACTTCCGAATCCTGCCGCTCATATACACCGAACTCTGTACGGGGGTGCGGCGACGCCACACTCGCGCGGCACGCTGTGGCGGTCGGTCTGATCCGCCCCACCTGTGAGCCGGCACGCCGCCCACCGGGCAACAATGGGCCGCGCCGGTGCCGCATGGCCGAGCATCTGGAGCGGCCGGCAGCGGCCCGACGGGCGGCCTCCGACCGCTGCACCGCCGCCGTACGAACCCGCTCAAGACGGCGCGTTAGCGACCGGCGCCGCGCGCCTCTCGCAAGGGGGAGGGGGGGGGGGGGCGTCACCGCCAGGCCGCCGCGAGTCGGTGCGGCGCCGCGGCTCTACGGCCGGCGCGAGCATCCCCTGTGTCCACCCCGCCCAGAGCAGCGCTCACTGAGAAGCGCGAAGAAAGCGAGGGAGAACAGTTCAGCGACGCTGCCCTCGGAACCGCAGTCGTGTCGCCGGGCAGGCCCACCACGGGAGCGGCTCATCACCGGCTGTGACGGCGCTTGCAGCAGGGGTGGGACCGCCGGACCGACCTCCGCCCAGCAGCGTTCAGTCGCCGGCGCTCCGCACCCAGCCAGCCGCCCGCCTGCAAAACACGTTGCACAACCGTGTGCCGCGCCGCCGCAGCCGCGCGCCGTGCCGCGCCGCTCGCGCGCGTTGCGGGCCACTCCGGCTGCGCGGGGACGGACCACTTGCCCTGCACCGTCGCCCTGGCAACGGCGTTTTTGCGGCGCGCAGCGGCGGCCGCCGGCCGGCCATGGTAAACAGGCAGGTGCCCGGAGATTCAGATTTTCGCACCCCACACCGAACCAGCGAGAGCCTCGGGCGCAGAGCTGGTTGGGCCACGGTCAGGGGTGGGCTGACACGCGAGGGAGGCGGGACAGCAGGCAGAGATAGTGGGCTCTCTGCTCACAGAGGCGGGCTCATTGTTTCCCTGCAGCCCGGATGAAACGTTCGTTTTCGCAAGAGACTAGGCTGACACCTCGCATTTCATCACAGAACGTGAACAGGTCTTTCAGTGTTTTCTTTTTCTACGTGTCGCTGCAGCAGGGAGCCAAGGCTAAGTGTCGCCCGTCGTAGAAGCCACGTACCTGGTCACAAATCATCTCCCATTTGCGGCTACTATCGTACTGTCGTAAGACCTTCGCCTTGTCAGGTGGCAGATCCATCGAAGCCTGGAACAGGTGACGGGCAGTGAGACCGCAGATCGTGTTTTGATATTAGACAGGTGTATCGGCCAATAGACCGCACCACCATCCCTGAGACAACCCGCAGTAAAACAATAAAGTGCTGAGGCACTGACCGCGTACTGCTTGAGGCCGGCCTCAATGGCTGGAGCTCTCCAGCAGGTACACCCCCTGCTATGCCGCTCGCTCGGGCGTCAACATCGAGGCAATTACACACGGACTTCCTAAGAGAGAGCGCGCGCGAGAGAGAGAGAGGTAGAGAGGAGGGAGAAACCTACGTATTCCGTATCTGCGCGCGTCTGTAATTTATTCCACGACAAAGCACAGCCCCTAAAATGGCAAAACATGAATAAAATTGATAGGTGTAACAAAAGACCTGGTAAAAAGCCTCGATTCTCTCTCGCACATGCCGAGATCGGGCGAGATCGGGGCGGCTTCACCGGGTGTCCGTTCAGTTCTCTTCACAGCATAGTGCGTACCCACTGCGTACGTGCGCGCGCGTAGTGGCTACGATTCTGGGGACCTTGATCACGAGCATGCTGACACGATGCTACACGTCATGGGACGGACGCTGCGTATATTCTTTGTTTGAGGGCTCATAAGTTTCTCTCCAGATAGGCCACCGAAACGGACTGAACGTTCAAAGGCGTGAGCGGAGCGAACGGTCAGCCTCGGATTAGGCGCATTTTAGGGCCCAATCAATTGCACTGGTTTCGGTAATTAACAAGCAAATAAAAAACATGTTTTACCGCGAAGGATCTTTAGGCAAAAGAATCCCAGCATACCTACCCCACATGAATACGTGTACCGCAAGCTGAGTCGTCTGAATCACTTTTGCCATACAAGAACAAAGTGTTCCATAAGGCAAACTAGTCATCCCAGGCTGCGTAACACCCATCTGCACGGGAAACCCGGTGAACTATAGACAACCACCGTAGCGCAGCAAAAACAGGACGGCGCTGAGCGGCCGAGGCCGGCCAGACGCGCCATCACCGCCGGCTGGCCAGCGCATCCGGCGATGCGGCTAAGAGCCGCTTCCGTCAGAACCCGTGGCAGACGTCGCGCCGGCCTGTCCCGCCGACTGACCGCAGGCGTGCATCAGCAGCAGGGCAGAGCCCGGTCGGGCCGCACGACCAGCCGACCTCGATCGGACGGTCGCTCAACGACCGTCACCTAGCAGTCCAGCACGGCCGCACGACCGGCCGACCTCGATCGGACGGTCGCTCAACGACCGTCACCTAGCAGTCCAGCACGGCCGCACGACCGGCCGACCTCGATCGGACGGTCGGTCAACGACCGTCACCTGGCAGTTCAGCACGGTCGCCCACCGCCGGACCTTGGTCCGACCAGCGGCACGCTGGCCCCGACCGGCGCTCGTCCCACTGAGGGCGAGTCCCCACAGCCCGCATCCACTGCAGCCGCTCCGACCGGCTTGAGACTGGGCCGATGGAGCCAGTTTTTGCTGTCTGCTATAAAGTATATAGTATATTTCGTTGCCGGTCTTTTTTCCCCGGTCTTACTCCGGCTTGGAAAATGGGCCTCCAGAGTTCAGACTGAAATGGAGCCGACTGTTCGGTGTTCGTATGTAGCCGACTTGACACCCGCATTGTCTCAGGGATCTTCGAACGGTGCAAGAGGACCTCTGGCTGATATTTAAGGTCACGACCCTACGGGCTGCGATTCTTTACGTGATTTACAGTCAGTCATTCGGGCCCTTATACCCACCTACTGGGCCTCTGACTGTCGGTTCCAGTGGGTCGCCCGGGCTCCTCTTAGGGCCTCATCGAACACTGCCCTTGGCCAGCTCGAGGCCCCTTGCGAGCACTGGACCCACAGGGGCCCATAGCTGTTAGCCGCAGTGGGCCCTTACAGATACAGGGGCCTAAACCAGTGTAAATCACTGGCCCCGACTTTGTAGCTGATTACGAAGTAGCCCCTTAGGCCCACACCGACACAGAGCCGAATGTGCGGTACTGGTGGTGCCTGACCGACATACACACCCATATCGACTCAGTGCCCCTAATCGGCCCACAGGGCCCCATGATGGTCATTCAAGGACCCGCCCCGCAGGCCGGGGCCCCTGAATAAAACTCCGACCAGCCCTTCGTGCCCTTAGTCCCTCCAATCTAACTCTTGATCGACGGACCCGGTGGGCCCTCAGGCTCTTCGGGCCTACTCGAACACTGCCTCTGGCCGACTTGGGGTCCTTGTCAGCACAGGACCCCCATTAGGCGCTGTGGAGCTCGGACCAATGTAAATCGCTGGCTCCGGCTACGGAGCCGACTGTGTGTTACTGGTCGTGTCTGATCACCATATAGCCCCTTATCGATTCAGGGGCCCTTGATTAGCGCACCAGGTCCTCTTGGCTGGCGTTGGGGTGCCCGACCCTGCGGGCGGGGCACCGAATGCGACCTCCAGCTGGCCTTTCGGGCCCTTAATCATAGGTGCCGAGGGGTCCTTGGGCCACTCGGAATCGAAGGGAGGGGGACACGCACCCCCTTGCCGTCCCCCCCCCCCTCCTCCCCGGCCTGCACCACTGGGTCCTTCATATCTCTGTAGATC